ACCACCTCCTGGAGAACTGACTGCATGGCTTATGAAGTCGTAACTGGCTTTCTCTGGAAAACAAAGAGGCGGTTTGGGATATTTTGTAATACCTCTGTATTACAGGATTACTTTGTGATGGAGAGAGGCAAGTTGCCTGAATGTATAGGAAGATCCCTGAGACTATTTTTTACTACATTTCATATTACATATTATAACTTGCATAATATTATATATTGCAAATAATGGTACTTTTGGGAATTAAAGCTAGGTTAACCATGGAGTTTTAATTAATTAATTAATTTATTTATTTATTTGAGGGGGGTGGGGGGGAGAGAGAGGGAAAAAAAAGTGGGGGAGGAGGAGCAGGAGAAGAAGCGAGACTCCCCATTGAGCAGGGACCCTGACAGGGCTCAATCCCAGGACCCTGAGATCATGACTTGAGCTGAAGTCAGATGCCTAACCAGCTGAGCCACCCAGGTGCCCCTGACCGTGGCATTTAGATTAACAGTTTCCACAATTAAAGTATTTGCTCAGCTTTTCTTTCTTTCTTTTTTTTTAAATTTTATTTATTTATTTGACAGAAATCACAAGTAGGCAGAGAGGCAGGCAGAGAGAGAGAGAGGAAGGGAAGCAGGTTCCCCGCTGAACAGAGAGCCTGTCGCGGGGCTCGATCCCAGGACCCTGAGATCATGACCTGAGCTGAAGGCAGAGGCCTAACCCACTGAGCCACCCAGGCGCCCCTCAGCTTTTCAAATAAGATAAAATTAAGTATAATAAAAAGTTGAAAGTGGTGAAAGATATAATAAATGTAGAAACTGCATTTTAAACAAGTATCATTGATACAAAATGGCAAATCTTATTATCTTATTTTAAATTCTGTTAAGGTATTCATTTCAAAAGTAATTACTGTTTTATTGCCACTTTATTAGTATATTATTATTACCATTTATGTTAATAAATGTTTATTATTTTAATCTCATAGGATAGTTTCCACCATCTTAAAAAATTCCTGACTTTCATAATTTTTTTTTTTTCTTGCTTGCTTTCAAGTGGAGAGCAGCAGCTTTTGGTCACAGAAGTAATGCTAGATATGACCCCCCACCAGTAGGGGTGAAGTCTTTATTACTAGAAATCTTTATTACGCGATCCTTGCATAGGTTCTACTTTTCAATAGAGATACCTCAATGTTAAACCTCAATGTTAAGAGATACCTAAATGTTTAACCTTAGTGTTAAACTTATCCCAAGTCTGGGTGGCAGTGTCGGATAGCTCCATTTTCTCACACATCAGGTAACTCAAATACATGGAAGCTGACAGCCACTAAGACAAAACTTGGTAATGGCTTCTATCTAAGTTATAGCCCAATTTAGAGTGAGGTTCTAAAAAGCACTATATTGAAAACATATTGAAAATTATCTGGTTATGAACACTTTTTACAAATATCCACAGCATAGATAGAAAAGACTGAAAAAAATTTAAAATGTTTTGAATATGCCCGATATGAATGGAGGCACAAGAGATGGGTAATATCCAAACAATTCAAATTTTAACATTTTGGTCTGTTCTAAGAACGAACTTGAAAAAAAATGATTTTCTTTCTTGCCAAGTCTGGGAGAGGAAAGAATATTCCCTGAGGCGACATTATTTTTACCCTTGCTCCCTGACCATGAAAACGAAGAGTAAACTGGCCGAGGTAGTACTTATCTCCTCTAGATTATTAGAGCCCCTTGTGCCCTGAAAATTGAGATGCTTTCTTCTTTTTCAGCCATCTGGTTTCATGCCTCCTTCAAGCAATTGGCTGGGGAGCATAGTTCCAGAGCCCTTGATTCTAGAGAAACACTTTAATAACATAATTTTGGTAAGAACCAGCCCTTCACAGAGCCTCTGTCAGTAAGCAGCAGTGTAGGAAGTCCTAAACCGTTCAGTTACTTAATTTGGGGGAAACAAGACTTCCCTTATTGGAAGAGCTAGGGGTCCTCCACAGCCTATTATGTAAAACACGAGATCCAGATTTTAGCTCTAAGTCACCTGGCCTGCTCTAATTTTATTCACAGAACTTCCTGACATCTGTCTCCTTCCTTAGGAGGATTCTAACACTTACCCTCTGGGAACTCTCTCCCAAAGAGAATATCATACATTTGATGTCCTTGCTGCTCACATTAAGATATTCCCAAATCCCTTTCTGATATCACAGGTGCCAAGGTTGATTTCTTTGTAGGCAATTCTACTATCACCAGCCATAGGACACCACTTTCAAGCCCTCTCCATACATAGCCTTGCACCTCTGCAACGGGGTTGCTTCAGAAAACCTACACATTTTCCCACCACATAGAAATGGTTAGCTATGCAGTACCTTAGCCAGGATCAGCTAGGTCTGTCTAGCTGTAGTGTCTTTAGCAAATACAGTACGGCAGAAGCCTAAACTCCCAAAGCCACAACAAGTGAAAACAAATGCATCTTTTATAATCACATGATTCTGTGTTCTAGAACATACCTACAACGACAAAAGTTCTTCGAATCTGGCGGGGGGGGGGGACAGGGAATAAAGTTTGTGACCTCATAAACTTCCATTCATCTAAATTCCGGTGATTATTTCAGCATTATTTGAAAAATAAGGACATTTCCTCTCAATCCTAATATCATTTCCTGAATCTAATCTAGTGTGTCCAAATATAAATGTCACCATTGCAGGAGCAAACTGATACATCAGATGGTTTGTTCCAGTTCAGTAGTTTTTATTTTTGTATGTGTATACATCCATATACGTGCCTGCTTGTATCTTTAAAATGCCATTAATACATGCATATGTGTTAATATGTATTTCCTCTGTCCTGAATTGTCATTATGAATTATTTAAACACAAGAAGTTAGAAATTATTATGGAAGCTATGGTGAAGCCTAATTCTTGAGTAATCTGAGCTAGAAGGATTATGGCCCCCCCATAATGGAAATACGAAGCTGAAAAAAAAAAAAAAGACCTCCATGGTTCATATTTCTAGGGACAGCTATCCTAATAGAAGAGAGGAACATTGATCAAACAAATCTATTACTCAGTGTTAGTTTATAGGATTGCTGTAACAAAATACCACACACTCAGGGATTTAAAACATCATTAAAAGTATTAGCTAAATCTGAGGTCAAGTCAGAGTTGGTTTCTTCTAAGGGCTAAGAGAATTTGTTTCCTCCTCTCCCCTAACTTCTAGGGATTTTCTAGCACTCTTTGTTGTTCTTTGGCTCACAGAAGCATCATCCCTATCTCTGCCTTCATCTTTGCATTATGCTTGCCATTCTTCCTGTGTATGTTTCTCTGGGTCCAAATATTTCCTTTTAATAAGCACCTCAGTTGTTTTAGACAAAGGCCCATTATCATGACCTCATCTTAACTAATTACATTTGCAAAGATCCTATTTTTATATAAGGTCACATTTTGAGATAGTGGGGTTATGACTTCAACATACGAATTTGGGGGGACAAAATTTAACCTATAACACTCAGTTGTAGGTTTTGCATATCTTCAACTAACTATTGTGAAGTTATTCTCTAAAGTAATTATACCAATTCACTCCCACCAGCAGTGTATGAGTGTTTCTGTTGCTCCACATCCTTGCTATCACTTGGTATTGTCAGTCTTTAATTTTTGTCCATAAGATGTCAGTAAAATTATAGTTAATTTGCACTGTATTATTAGGGAGGTTGAATCTTTTTCACGTTTATTGACTCTTCCTGTTTCCATTTTTGTCAATTGCCTTTTCATTTCCTTTGCCTATCTTTCTATTGTATTCATTAAAAATATATTTATTGAATGTTTATTATGTACAATGTACTATTTTAGGCATTTCAGATGTGGTAGGAATAAATTTCCACTGCATATGGCTTATATATTCTAGAAAGGGTGATGCACAGTAACAATATAAGCAAGATAATTAGATAGCGTATTAGAAGGGGATAAAGACTATGAAGAAAACAAAACAAAGATCACAAGGATTGCAGGGTAAATTTCATAGCCTGGGCAGGCCTTAATGAGAAGGTAATATTTGAGTAAGGACTTGAAGGAAGTGGAAGATGGAGCCATGTGTCCATCTGGTGGAATGGTTTTCCTAGGAAAGAATTAGAACAGCTACCTAAGCATGGAGAGGAGAAAAGGAGTTCGGTTCTGAGAAGTGAGAGGCTGTGGGGTTCTCTGGTGCAGATGAAAGGCAGATAAAGGACTTTGGCTTTTATATTTTTTATATATACACATATGTGTTCACTCAGTTTGTTGTGCTTTTCTCTCGTTGACTTTTTAGCAAATGCCTTCTTTAACTACAGTCACCTACCATTTTTGGTTAGTTACTTCCGCTTCCCTGCTACCACTGCACTTGGCACAGACTGTTTTAGAACACTTACCAAATATTAATGCATCTTTTCATTATTGTTCAGTAAATTCCAGGATGTAGGATCCTGTCTTACAAATTATGTCCCGGTAACTAGCACATAATGCGTACTCGATGAACGTCTGCAGAGGTAAGTGGGGAGAAGTGGTGTGGTCTGTTGTCACTTCCACCTGAGGAAAAGTGGATGATGTACTTCCGAAAGGTGAAGTGGAAAAGGGTTGAGACAGGAAATGACCTCACACTGCAAAATGCTTTGGCGCATTAGACCGAGAATACGGATATGCTTGCGCTACGAATTAACCCTTGCGGCTATTCGATCACTTAGATGATAGCTCCAGAGAATCACTCTCATTTTACTATACGCTGCACCGTGGAAGGGAGGTTGAGGAATTCGCCAAAGGTTAAGCCGAGGGCAGGTTCTGTCACAGCTTTTTGGAGATTTGTAGTATTTCCCTCTGCCTTTAGGCAAGCCGTCAAAGGCAGTTAAGGGCAGGAGCCGAGACATAACTCAGCTAACACACACCAGCTTCCTCCAGCGCTTGCTTTAGACGCTCGTGTACTCATTGCGCATGCGTCAACGTTCCGCTCAGAAATGGGCGGGGTACAGCCTTTGCCCGGGTGGAAATCCTGAGCGAGGCTGACCGAGACTGTTTCCAAGGTGACGGTGTGGCGGCCTCGGTGGTGGATTGAGTGGGTCTGAGCGAGGTTCCCAGAGGGCTGCGCGTCCCCGTCCTGTCGGCGCCGTCATGGCGGGTTTGCTGAAGAAGGTAAGGTGACTGGAGGTCACTGTTGGACTTTCGATCGTGGGGGTAGGCTCAGCCCGAAAGCCTCTCATCCCGCGGGTGATGGCCGGAACTGGCGCGGGCTTGCCGGGGTTTTGGGGGGACTCGTTCAGCTGTGTCCTCAGAGATGACAGATTTAGTAGCTCCGCCCCAAACTAGTGGCTCTGAGAGACCGATTGCTGGGTTAGGCCAGTTTTAGCCAGGGGACTGGTGGTTTTGCGCGGAATTGTATGCAGCGTGAATCGTGTTTTGTTTCCGAACAGACCACCGGCCTTGTGGGATTGGCTGTATGTGAGAGTCCGCACGAGGTACGTGCTGCTTCATTCCTGACATCGCAAGGACGACTAGACCGCTGTGACCTTGTTGCAAAGACCAAGGGGATGTGGATATTTCAAGCCTGAAATTACAGCTCAGCCTGAGAGCTGTCTTGAGACAGAGCAGTGCCCACTTCGTTGATCGGTGCCGTGTGTTTGTGTCGTGCGTGCCCCCCGACCTCGTTCTTCAGCCACTTTCCTTGCCAGTTTCTCCCTAGCCTTCTGGTGGCTTCACCTGTACTTGTTGGAGGGCCCTCCCGTACCTGTAGCTCCATTTTCCACCTTTAACCCCCGCCTCACATTTTCTGCCTTAGGTGCCTCAGATTCCAGCACACTCTGGCTTACGGAATATATCGCTCTAGCAACTAACCCCTATGTCATCAGTTTTCCCTTCTAGTGGGAATGCTTCCATCTAAACTTCAGAAACCTCCTCCCGCGATCCCTCTCCTCCTTCAGTAATCACACCATTTCTCTCCTCCCCTTTATAAATGATTGGAAAGAGTTATCTGTACTTAACTGTTTCCATTGTCTCTTACTCCCCTTTGAATCACTTCACTCAGATTTGGCTAGAACTGCCCTTTTCAAGATCACCATGATTTCCGTGCTGCTAAATCCAATGGTCACCTCACGTTTCTCATCTTAATTGACCCATTAACAGCACTTGCCACATTTGGCGCTGTCTCCATCAAGCATTTGGGGCTTGGGGACACCCCAGTCTCCTGCTTTTTTGGATTATTTTCCCCCCTTACTTTCTTCTCCTTCTCCTATTCTGGTTATTTCTCATATTCCCACTTAGAAATTTTGGAGTGCTAAGACTTAGTTCTTGGAACTTTCCTCTGCTTATCTTTGTCTCCTTGTCTGGACCCAGTCTAGTGGTTTTAAATACCATTTATACACTGATAACTGTTAGATTTCTGTGCCAAGCAGGGACCTCTACTTATGAGAGTCTTCTCTATTTAATTGCTTAGTGGATATCTCCACTTGAATGTCAGGCAACCCAAACTTAATGTTCAAAATTGGGTTCCTGTTTTTCTGTGTAAAATCTGCTCTTCTCTCAGGCTTGCTTACCTCAATGAATGGCATTTCCATTCTTGTACTCACTCAGGTCAGAAACCTTGAAATCATGTTTAATTTCTCTCTCTTGCTCACACCCCACATTTAGTACTTAATTACATCCTCTAGGTTTCTAATTTTAACATATATCCAGATTTTGAGTACTTCTCACCATCTCCTCTGCTGCTACAATGTTCTCAGCTACAATGTTCTCAGCTACCATCATCAGGCTGAAGCATTTGCTTCCTAACTGCCTCTCCTTCTTTGTCACTGCTTCACTTTAGTCTTTTTTCAGTGAAGCTAGAGTCAGTTTGACACATATGAGTCTGGTCATGTCCCTCAGCGGAACCCTCCACTGGCTTTTGATTTCACTCTTCAGTAAAGAAGTCCTAATAAAGGCCCTCCAGACCGCTATTTAGCATTCTGAATTCTAGTAATTTATCTTGCTCATTGACTTTCTCTATTAGTAGGTAGATTTTCATGAAGGCAGGGTTTTTTAAATTATTTTATTCACTGCTAGAACTATGATGAGCACATGGTATGTGCTCAGTAAATATAAGGTTTGTTAAACGAATGTTGTGTAGTTCTTATGACTTCATAATGACTCATTATTGTCTAAAACGGAACTCACGGTTCTATATTCTAGCCACATGCTGTCCAATAAAAATATAATGTGGGTTATAAATATAAACTCTGTTCGTAATTTTAAATTTTCTAGGACTCACTTTTTTTAATACAGAAAAAGGTAAAAACTAATAATTTTATTTAATATATTTAAAACATGTTAATGTTTTATTTATTTTAATAAAATGTTACCATTCCACTATATAATCAATATAAAAATTAATATATTATACTCTTTTTTTATACTAGATCTTCAAAATCCACTGTGTATTTATGTTTATAGCACTTTTTAGTTCAGACTAACCACATTTCAGGTGTTTGATAGCCATATTTGGCCAGTGACTATTGGGCAGCAAAGTCAAAGGAAACTAGAACTATATACTAATTACTTTGTATTCCTTTTATTTTTGCCATTCAGTCCTATGTGTGTATTCCATGTGTAAGGTTGTCTTTTCCTACATCTTTAAGTGCCCGAGTCCTATCATTCCTCCAGGCCTATCTCAGATACTTCTTTTTCTTGAACCTTTCTCTGGTACCTGCTGAAGTGACTCCCTCCAATAGAACAGTAATGCTAACATTTATTGAAAGTTAATGTGTGCCAGATGCTGTTCTGAGCTATACAACAACGTATGAAGCAGGTATTATTAACATCTCCATTTTAGAACCCAAGTCTGTTAACTTGACATCTCAATTGCCATATCCTTTGCTAAAATTAAGAAGCAATGAGGCTGAAAACCCATGTATAATTCAGATTATATGTTATCTGATAATTTCTACATTAGTATAGTTAAAAAATATGGAACATCGTATCAAATGTCTAAATAATGTCTAAATACGCAGATTGCTTTTTAAGAAAAGCAATTCTTAGAGGCCCTGAAGGTTTATTTGTTTTTCATAATGTATATTGTGAATATATATGAATGAAACTAGGTATTAGCACCTGTGGATTTTATACAATTAAACTAAAACATTTCAAATTAAATACAAAGAAATAATAAATTCTTTATCATGTATGTGTATTTATGATTATACTTACTACTTGTGAACATTTGTGAGTTAGCATCTGCTATCACAGCTTCTTACATGTGACTTTATCCAGACTGCTGTATGTGAACTTAAAGTTCAGTTTGCTTCAATACAGGCTGTACAGTGATTCAGTTCTCTTCCTTTCCTGTTAAGCCTGTGGTGAAACCTTCATTCACATGATACCAACTCAGTTATCATAAGCTGAAGTATTAGGACTACATTTAGTTAAATTTGATCATCCTGATAATCACTGTTTTACTTCTACAGAAATTCAGATAAGAAAAATTGAAAAAAATCTGATTTTGTAGTGCTTAGAATCTCAATTTGAGAAATAATGATTTAGTAAATGAGTTGATTTTCAGATTAGATCATTAGTAATAAGTTAGAATGCAGTTTTATTTTTACTTATTCTCATACCTTTGGCTTATATATAACTTTTGTTGTTCATGCAATGTGAAAAGTATCCATATTTCTACATTTAACCCTTGAATAGCACAGGTTTGAACTGTTTGGGTCCACTTATATGCACATTTTTTTTTCAATAAATACAGCACAGTGCTGTAAGTGTATTTTCTTAAGACTTTCTCTTTTTTTTCTTTTTTTAAGGATTTTATTTATTTATTTGACAGAGAGATCACAAGTAGGCAGAGGAGGGGGCGGTAGGGTGAGGGGGTGGGAAGCAGGCTCCCCGCTGAGCAGAGCGCCCAATGCAGGGCTCCATCCCAGGACCCTGAAATCATGACCTGAGCCGAAGGCAGAGGACCAACCCACTGAGCCACCCAGGTGCCCCTCCTTAAGAATTTCTTAATAACATTTACTTTTCCCTAACTTACTTTATTGTAAGAATATAATATGTGATGCATACAACATATAAAATATGTGTTAACCAACTGTTTGTATTATTGGTGAGGCTTCTGGTCAATAGTAGGCTATTAGTTAAGTTTTGGGAGAGTCATAAGTTATACGTGGGTTTTCAGCCATGCCAGGGACTGGCCCCCAACCCCAGCGTTGTCCATGAATCAACTGTACTCGTATTTTTCCTCAGTTATAAAAGTGATAGATAGTGCATAGACATGAAGAAATTGCAACAAGGAAGAGTTAAATGCTTTTTAAAAAACAGATGTGAGGGTTTTTTGTTTTGTTTTGCCTTTTTGTAATTTGTGAGACTTGCTGAAGTATTCTGTTGAATCTTAAGATGATATTTTAAACTGAAAATGTATATGATTTGTCTTTTCAGAGGCTAAGAATATTGTACACAAAGATTCTTGATGTTCTTGAGCAAATTCCTAAAAATGCAGCATATAGGAAGTACACAGAACAGATTACAAATGAGAAGCTGAGTATGGTTAAAGCGGTAAGTAGCTGACTTGATTTTGTTTTCTTGGATATATGGTTTCAATGCAATATTAACAAAAAAGTTCAGTTGTTTATTTTTTGCATATTCCACATATGGAATATACTTTGCTCTTTTCTATTCTTTGCTTTCCTTCCATCCTTTGTCCCTTCATTCAGCAAATTCCTTTTTACTAAATGCGTTCCATGTGCAAGCCACTGTTAAATACCAGAGTGAAATAACATTAGGTCTCTTCTCTAAGTTCACATTGTTCTTTTTACCTCTCTTCCTGATCAAGTCCTTTGTTGATTATTGACTTATCTATAGATATAACAATTCTTACCTCTTTTCTCTAGTTTCAGAGTAGAGAAGAATGAAAGGAAAACAAAAAATGTCTGTTGTGTTTAAAAAAAAAATTCTCAGAAATTCTCGGAAGCTAAGCAGGGTCGGGCCTGGTTAGTACTTGGATGGGAGAAATAACTATTTTAAAAAATGCTTTGTTGCAGAGAGTACCAACTCAGTCTCTTAATTACCAAAAATTGTATCAAACATTGTTATGGACTTACTCTGTCCCCTCCCCCCCATTCATATGTTGAAGCCCTAACCCCTCTCCAGTGTGGGAGGAACATCTGTAGAAGTAATTAAGGTTAATGAGATCCTAAGATTGCAGCCCTGATTCAGTAGAATTAGTGTCCTTATAAAAAGAGACAGCCGTGTGAGGAGGACTCAATGAAAAAGTAACTATCTGCAAGCCAGAAAGAAACTGTTTCTGAAACAGTTTCATCAGAAACTGACCTTATTGCACCTTGATCTTGGACTAACAGTCTCCAGAACTGTGAGAAGATAAATTTCTGTTGTTGAAGCCACAGAGTCCGTGGTATTTTGTTGGCAGCCCTAGCAGACTAATAGAAGCATTTTATAGGTTTTAAATCAAAGGCCCTAGCCAGACACACCATAGACTGCTGCTAGTTCTTTTATACCAAACTATATTGCACTATTGTACAATTAAATTTTTCAATTATTAAATTTTCACACTAGCAATTATTTTTATTTCACGGACTTTTGTAATTTTCCAGAAGTGTTCATAAACTCTAAAAGTAGTTTACATATAAGTAATAAGTAATAAGTGGTCCTAATACCATGCTCTAGTCCAAAGAGAATAATTATTTTTCCCTAGGTATGCAGCAAAACAATTTAATTTAGAACTTTTATTCTTAGCTTGGCAATTCTGAAAGTGGCTGACTGATCAAAGTCTGTAAGGGAAAGTTCAACATTTCTTTTGATTTCATGTTTTCCTTAAGGTAAAACGGGCTTATGCATTTTTTTTTTTCCCATCACAGAGTAAGAAATTTCCCTTTCTCTTTTCATGAGGTAAACCTCTTTGAGTCTTCCTCTGCTTTCCTTCTCCGTAACCTTATCCCACTTTATCGTTTTTCTCTGTTTCCCTTTTATCCACGGATTTAATTAACTTTCAGATGGCCTCAAAATGTATTTTCTTAAAAAGAAAATTCTTATTTTTATATGTTCCTTTATTTTTGCCCTATTTTTCTTTTATCTCTTATCCAGTGTCGACCAAAGAAGAGTTTACTGTCGTTACTTTCACTTATTAGTTAAAATAGTTTTCTCTGACTTGGGCTCTTTTAATTGCTGTGTAACTTCCTGGTCCATGTGTAGTTCCATCATACTTCAGTATATGCCCCACACTGCCAATAGAGTGTTTTTTTTGTTTTTTTTTTTTTTGTTTTTTTTTGAGTATATAAATCTGATCCAGATGTGGTTTCTTGGTTAGTGTTTCTCAGATGCGGAATTTAAGAATTTTTGCTGAGTTAGTTGTATGAAACTCTCCTAACTGCTTTTATCTCCAAGCCTTTCTCTGATGTACAGCCAGGTTTGGGAACCACTGACTTACATGTTAAAGTCCTTAGAGTGGTATGGAAGGTGCTCCAATGTCTGACTCTGGGTTATCTTCTGAATCTTACCTTGTCATTTCCAATTTCATACCCTAAACTTCAGCAATACCAAACAGCTGATAATTTCGTGATTTACATGTAATTTTATTATTGTGTTTCTTTGTATTTTCTCTTCCCTCTTCCTGGAATACTCTTACCTTGTCTTTCTGGCTTATTCAAGGCCTCAAGATCCGTTACTTCCTCTGTGAAGCCTTTTCGCATCTCCCTAAGTAGAGATTAACAACTTCCTTGCTTTTCTTACATTGTACCTGTCACACTATATTTTATTTATGTCTTCTCTACTAGTCCATAAGCTACTTATGATTGATGCTTGCATTCCTCTTTGTGTCCCAAGAATTGAGCATAGTGCCTGGTGCTTATATAAGGTCCTATAGAAATTTTTGTCTATCCAAAAGGCTACATACAAATAGTTTTAATAATCCCAAGCACAGTATAATAGTTGTATCATCGATTCCTGTTTTTCGTAAAATTATTACAGATTTTTAACCCTCAATAGAGTCCTATATGAAGTCTTCAGTAAATATTGTTATGATTATAAAATATCTATTTACTAAGCCTGAAATGGAAATAAAAGTAAATATTTTTTCAGATTATACTAGGGAGATAGAATATTGGTGAAAAGTATTGGTTTGTGGCCTGTCCAAAATTTTCATCTCAGCTCTAATACTTATTTGCTGAGTGACTAATTGGCATATTGTCCATTTCTTTGTCTCAGTTTCCTCATCTAAAATTTGGGTATAATACCTACTTGAATACTTATTGTTAGGACTAAATGAGATAATTATGTACAATGTTTAACGCAGTTGCAAGCACATGGTGATCAGTACATGGTAGCTTATTAAGCTTAAGGACGTTCTGTCACTGTTAAATAGAAATCATATTATTAACTTACCTTCAGTAAGACAAATTTTGAATTGTTTTCCTAGCACAGGATTCTCTTGAGTTGGAAATATTGAACCTTCTTTGCCTTCTTTTCTTCACTCTCCTGGGTCTCTTAACAGCGACCACCTTCCCTGTTCTGCTTTTGGAGTTCGGCTTTAAAGCTCAGTTAATTCTGAGTTAAACAGTCTTTCTCAAACATGTTCATCTGCTTTCTTCCCCCTTCTTTTCTAACTATTTTCATTTATTCAAGAAACACTGAATGCCTTTTATATGCCATGTATGTTTGTAGGGATGGAAGCCAGTGCCTATATGACAATGAACAAAGTAGATAAAAATCCCTGCCTTCTTGGAGATTACACATTAATGATGGGAGGCAAAGAAGTAAGTAAGTTAATAAAGAAGTACATTAAATAGCATGTTAGAAAGTAGTTAAATGCAGTGAAGGAAAATGAAAAGAGAATGATGTGTATATAGGTGATGAGGGATGTTACAATATATATTTGTTTCCTCTGCCTGTCCTAATAAACTTGGTGGCTTAAAACAATAGAAATTTATTCTTTTACATTTCCAGAAGCCAAAAATCCTAAAATTAGTACCAAGGGCCCAAATCAGGGTATTGACAAGACTGCATTCCTTTTAGAGGTTCTAGGGTAGAACCTGTTCCTTGACTCTTCCAGCTCTGGTGGCTTTCAGCATTTTTTGGTTTATCATTCTAATCTCTGCCTCTGTGGTCACATTACTTTCTCTTCTTCTGTGCATCATTTCACTCTGCCTCTGTCTTTAAAGGATTCCTGTAATTGTATTTAGGGCCTACTTGGATAATTTAGGATAATCTCTGTCTCAAGATTCTTAATTACATCTGCAAAGTATTTGCCCCACAAGGTAACATTAATAGGTTTTAGGGATTAGGTCATATACATTTTGTGGGGCATTATTTAACCTACCACAGTATAAGTTACTATCAAGAGTGATCCTCACTAAGAAGGTGATATATGAGCAAAAACTTGGTTGGAAGTGAAGGAACAAGTCATGCAGATATCCCTGGTTATCCAGCAGATGCCCTGAAGCAGGAACGTGCCGGTTCCTGTAGAAAATATCTTTGTTTTTTTTCTCCTTCTTTTTCATTCCTTTTGTGGGTCAAAAAACCATCTTTTTACACCTTACGTATGTGTAAGTATGTATAGAACATGGTTTCTGGATCTCACAAAGCTCAGTTTACTAGCAATAAATACATGTCATTGTATTTTCTAGGTTACATATTAGCATTTCTTTTCTAAAAAACCTTTTATTGAAGAGTAATGTACAAATGAAATATGCAAAAATCATAAGTGTAGAGCTTGATGAATTTTCACAAAGTAATCACACCATGTTAACACCAAATCAGAGGACATTTTCAGAATGCCCAAACCCTCTCTTTTTACCCTCCAAGTTAGTACCCTCCTAAAGATAACTACTCTTCTGACCTCTAACACCACAGGTTCATGTCACCGGGTTTTTAACTTTTTATAAATGGAATCTAAGTCTGTGCTCTTCTGTGTGTGATTTCTTTTATTTAGTATTACGTTTGAGAGAATCATCCGTGTTCTTGCATCTAGTTGTAGTTCATGTACTCTTGTTGCTAGGTAGTATTCTGTTATATCCAAATACTATATTAATTAATTCTATATATGATTATTTGAATTATTTCTAGTTTGGGGTTATAATTTGTGCCGCTGTGAACATTATTGAACATGCCATTTGGTTAATGTATTATACTTTTCTGTTTGTTATATACCTAGGAGTAGAATTCTGGGTTGTAGAGTAGCATTTATTTTGAATAGTAATGCTCTCAGAAGAAATACAGGAAATACTAAGAAAGTAAAGTAGTATTTTAAAATCTGTATTTTATTTATTTATTTTTAAAAAGATTTTATTTATTTATTTATTTGACAGAGAGAGACAGTGGGAGAGAGAACACAAGCAGGAGATGTGGGAGAGGGAGAAGCAGGCTTCTTGCAGAGCAGGGAGCCTGATGTGGGGCTCAGGCCCAGGACCCTGGGACCATGGCCTGAGCCAAAGGCAGATGCTTAACAACTGAGTCACCCAGGTGCCCTAAAATCTGTATTTTAGAAAGACTGAGGTGGACATCATATTTCTTACTCTTGATAAGCAAGTTAATATTAAGACAGAAAAACAATAAAGTAGTAGATGAAATGGGTTTCCACCAGATATTTGGCAAACATTAGTAAGGGCTTAATAAAATAAAAATTAATTATGTTTGCTATAATAAGTGCTATTTTATATTTGGGTCTTTTTAATTAGGATATTGGAACATTTAGATACTATGCTTCTTTGTTTAAATCTTTTTTTCTTTTTTTCCCTTAAATTGTAGGAACCAGATGTTAAGAAATTAGAAGACCAACTTCAGTGTGGCCAACTAGAAGAGGTTATTCTTCAGGTAAACAAAAAGTTGAATATTTAGCTGTTTGGCTTTAAATGGTCAAAGGCACAATACTTAGAGACACAAAACTGACATTCCAGAAAAAAAACAACAACCCTAAATTTCTTTATTTAATCAGCTCTCAAATATAAGAATAATTGCATATAGGAAATACTTCTGTCGTGTATATATCAACTAAATATTTATCAGTAATTATAGTTTGAATTTATGAGGCTTCTGTTGGAGATTTGGAGTTGGATACACCTTAAATTTAATCTGTTAGCCTTTAGTTCAAACTAGTAACACAATATTACTATTATTTGAATAATTTTATCTTTTTAGATACATACTTTTGTGTTTTAAAGGCTTAGTATATTTTTAATATGGAGAAATACAGGTTTTTTGAATCACAAAATCATAAAATGAAAATGTATTTTTATTTTTTACTTTGATTAACACATCTGTGCCTTTTTTTTTTTAAGATTTTATTTATTTATTTGACAGAGATCACAAGCAGGCAGAGAGGCAGGCAGAGAGAGAGGAGGAAGCAGGCTCCCTGCTGAGCAGAGAGACCAATGCGGGGCTAGATCCCAGGACCCTGGGATCATGACCTGAGCCGAAGGCAGAGGCTTTAACCCATTGAGCCACCCATGCGCCCCCTGTGCCTTTTTTTAAGTTGTGCATTTTTTCCCCCAATTATTAATAAGGTTAAGCTTAAAATATGTTCTTGTATTTTGTGTTTTATATATTACATCATTCATGTTTTTACTCTATCATTTGTTTTTTTTAAGATTTTATTTATTAGCATTTATCTTCTATATTTCTTTGAATGTTTTTTAAAATAAAAGAGATATTAACCTTAAACTTTTGCTATATTATCTGCACATTTTTTTAGTCTCTTCTTTGCCTTTTGACTTCAACTGAATATTTTCTCTCATATGTAAAGATGTTTTAAATTTTTATTTGGTCAAATCACATTCCCCGCTTTGCCCCACGACTTCACCACCCACCTCCCTGCCACAGTATTATAAGTTTAGACGTCTACCCTTAGAAGCCATCTGACACTCAGTTCTGTTTCATTTAATTTTTTTTTTTAATTTAAAGAAAATAAAACCATTTCTTCAGTTTTATTAAAGGACAAATAAAAGGATATAGTGGGTAGTATTGGTGATTAGGGAGGTATATCACCAAGAGACATGATATACAAATTCAAAAGAATTGTTAGATGGCTCTGTTAAAAGAGGAATAGGGCATTCATCCGGCCTTTTATGAATGTAGACTATTTCAGTCATTCAAAGGCTGATTTTCTTGGCCTTCTATTCATTCACCAGCTGTTGTACCATATGGCAGTTTGCTGCCTAACTTACTATTGCCCTTTTCCTGTTCCTCTTTCTTTTTTGTCAGATCTCACTTTGATCATGATTAGTTTAACTTACACATTAATTTATTATGCAGTTATAGTCTCAGGGTGCAGTAGCTATTTTTAAGTCAGCTGTGCCATCTCCACAATTTCATTGGCAGTATTAAGGTTGAGTTTTAGTAATGTTTTACTTAACCTAAAATATTTAAAACATTAATTGAAACCGATAACCAATATAAAAATATTGTTATATTTTATATTCTTTTTTATACGAAGTCCTCAAAATCTTTTGTGTATTTTATACTTGCAGCATGTCTGAATTTGAACTAGCTGCATTTCAAATGCCTACTCAGTAGTCACATGTAGGTAGTAGCTACCATTTTTTTTTTTTTAATATTTTATTTATTTATTTGACAGAGAGCAAGATCACAAGTAGGCAGAAAGGCAGGCGGGGGTTGGGGGGAGAAGCAGGCTCCCTCCCAAGCAGAGAGCCGGATGCGGGGCTCCATCCCAGGACCCTGAGATCACGACCCGAGCCAAAGGCAGAGGCCTAACCCACTGAGCCACCTAGGCACCCCAGTAGCTACCATTTTTGACAGCCCAGTTTTAGAGGGATGATAGAAGAAGAAGGAAAAGGTACTGTGTTAGAGGTAAGGAAGAGAGCAGGAATGGGCAACAGTGCTCTCCTGTAGCTGAGTCCAGCTACCTGAAATGGGGTTGACCTCATGATGGTTTAGAGTTAGGCACCCTCCCCACACTACACGATGCCTTTGGGGCTTAAAGAAAGCATGAATGGTCAACAGACCCAGGCCAAAGGTCTGTCAGGGAAATAGCCATCATTAGAGATATTTTTAATTTAGTATTTATGCTATTTTCTCATTTTAGTATTAGTAAATCCCTCTATCCTCAAACTTCTATTAATCTGCTTTTTAACTCATTGTTTGTATACATTTTAGACTTGATGCTAAACATAGATTGGCTGTTTTGCCCCACTGGCATAAATGAGGCATTGCCTTTCTTAAAGAATTACAGTCTGTGATGGAATTTGGCACTTACTCTGTATTTGAATTCCTTTTCTGACATCCTGACAAGTGTTTAACAGTGTTCTTATAAGTTAGCAGGAGTTGTCATAGGTCTTTTTGTTGTATAAAAATGTGAAATAAAAAGAACCTAAAATATTTGTTAAATAGTTATAAATTTGTTTGAAGGGAAAAAGTTAAATGTAACATAATCTGACTAAGGAAATTAATTCAATCAGTAAATTTTGTGCACCTATGATATTCTACACTCCATAGATCATTGTTTTACAAACTGGGGGTCTCAAGTGATTATGGGTCAGGAAGTCAGTTAGATGGGTTATGACTAGCATTTAAAAAAAATAATAGAAAATAATGTATCATAGCTAGTAAAGGTAATGATATTTTTAGTTTTGTTTTATGTGCATATAATGGATCCTTTAGTAGAATTTGTTGTGTTTTACTGTGGGCCATGATAAAATAAAGCTTGAAAGCCATTGACATAGATAAGAGATATTCTTCTCATTCTCAAAGAATTTATAGTCTAATGGTGAAACAGACAATTAAGATTGAAAATTCACCAAGTACATTTTTGAACACTCTAATAGAAAATTTTAATCAAATAGAAAATATCAAAAGCCATCCTTTCTTACTCATGATTATGTAATTATGAGAATTAAGATAATTTTATTAATAGTGTTCAGCATTTGATGGTAGAATAGCTTATTAGGTATTAACATGAAAATGGTTTTAATAACTGTATTTCAATCATTAGCTATGATAAATATCTATTAGTGTAATCAAATGATTTTTTAAAAATTTTTATTAACAGGCTGAAAATGAACTAAGTCTGGCAAGAAAAATGTTACAGTGGAAACCATGGGAGCCTTTAGTGGAAGAGCCTCCTGCCAACCAATGGAAATGGCCAATATAATCATCATTAAATGATTGGCGTGTTGATGGGAAATGGATGTAATTAAATGTTCTGTTATATTAAAAATGTTTCTATATTATTGACATCTTATAATCAAGAAAACTAATACGGAACATATTTAGGGCACTTCTTAAAATTGATGACTATGGTAATAGGGACTTGTGAATCCATTTTTGATATGTAAAGCATTCATTTAAATTATCTCAAAGATTTTTTTGTTACTTGTTTTTTGTCTTTTTTTTTTACAGAAAGGTTGTTTTTACAGAAAGATTTGAAAGTTAATTGGAAAAATTCCTGTAGATTTTCAGCACAGAAGCCATAACAAAAATGTTAAGTATTTATAGTGGTGTCTTCAACAGATCATTTAATGATTTTTATCCTGAAAAAAAAAACAAACAGGAAAGATACTTAATTATTATTGTTGTTTAGACAAATTTATAGGTCACTAAGTGAAGTAGTAAGAGTAAAAGCCATCAAATTATAGTTGTACAGTTGAGGAAATTGATTTGGTATTTAAACGAAAAATTTCTTTTTTTTTTTTTTTTAATTTTTATTTTTTTATTTGGCAGACAGAGATCACAGGCAGAGAGGCAGGCAGAGAGAGCGAGGAGGAAGCAGGCTTCCCGCTGAGCAGAGAGCCCAATGCGGGGCTTGATCCCAGGACCCTGAGATCATGACCTGAGCCGAAGGCAGAGGCCTCAACCCACTGAGCCACCCAGGCACCCCGAAAAATTTCTTTCTTGAAAGAAAAAATTTCTTACAGTGGTAGTTGGAAAAACTTTTCCATTTGTGTTATTTAAAGAAGTTAGCTTTCTGTTTCTTAGCCTTTAGTTTTCTTGATCAACCAAAGCTTACAGGATAGAGATTGAGTATATGTAAAAGGAGAGATATCAAGAGTTTCTAAAGTGTATCTGACATACAGATAGGCTTATATTCAGAACATCTTAGTCATACATAGGTTGTAACTTCAAAGTGGAATCACTAGGTAGTTTTCACTAAGTTTCCAATATGAGTGCAGTTGAGTATCAAATCTAAGATAAATGCTAATTCAAGGAAAGAAACAGTTGGCATAAATTACATTTCACGTGTCCTCAGTACTTAAATTTGGTATTTTTTAGCTTCAAAGATAGTACTTTTGTGTGTGTTTGTACACATATGTTTTTGTGTCTTTTGCTATCCCTTGTGGCAAAGCAGAATCATTCAGAATTTCCAGAATGAGAAATTTTTTTTTTTTCTGATATATTTTTCCCCTTACAGAGCTGTAAATTGAATGGTAAATAAGCATTAATTGAGGTGGATTGAGTTACTTTTCAGCAGTCAGAATGCAAGAGAAGGCTTTTGTGGGGAAAGTGGAAAAGCTTTAGAGGGAGTCAGAGGTCCAGGGGTTCTCATCCCATGGTTCCAGTGCCATCAAGAGCTCAAGTGGAGGCAAGTTGTCAACCTCTCAGATTGACCTATTTCCTTCTTTATAAAAAAAAGTAGAACTTATGATTTATAACTTCCTTTTCAGTCCTAAATATTTGCTTTAAATATAATACATACTTATAGATGTAAAAAAATACATGATCTTAAAGCATATCTGTATAGATAATTCAAGCAGATTTCCTTATCAACCACTTTTTTTTTTAGGTCCTTTGAGCACAGGAACACAAAGATGGCTTGATGTCTCTATCAGACTTTCTAGTCTCACCTCCCACGATTCTTGGGCATCATATATTTTACAAACAGGGTTCCTGTAGCTGTTAATAAAAAGGGGACCATATTGATGTTTGCATTAGAAATGCTAGTGGTAGAATAGTAGTAGTATAGTAATAATAATAATAACTAATATTTGTTAATGTTTGCCAGGTACTGGTCTAAGTACTTGACTAATTTCACTCTTAAATCTGCACTACAACTCCTAAAAGAGTGATCCGGTAAATTATCTCCATTTCTCCAGATAAGGAAACCAAAATTCAGTGTGAGTAGTGTTCTGCAATCGGAGGCCACTATAGGCAACTCAGGCACCTTGGAAAAACAGGTGAATAAGTGGTGTAATAATTAACTGAGGTCCCGTAGCTAGCTAGTAAGATGTGGAGCTAAATTGTGAATCTGGGAGTCTTGCTACAGAACTCATGTTCCTAACCATTGTATTATTTTTATAAATATTCTTACATTGCTGTCACTCCTGCCTATACCTTAGGGACTGTACTAAAATAACCTGTTTTTTGCTTTCTTGATTTGTCAAAATGACTATAAAGAACAAATAGGAACAAAGATAGTAAACTGGATTTCATTTTGTATAAAAATCTTCATATGGATTATAGGTAGATAAGATAAATGGGATAGGTATTTAAAAGGCATTTTTGTGTGGGGCATGTTTTTACATTTATTAACTGCCATTCCAACTGCCCATACACCTTACATCTGATAGTTTTTACTCCTTCAAAAAATTTTCTGGTTGCTCTATAACGTCCAGATTAGGTTTTTCTGATCCCTTTACAAGTGATTCTTCCATTTAAAGATACTCAGTGTTGCTGAGTGGCTTCTAGAATAATTTGAGTAATTTTCAGAATGACCCATTTCAATTCCTCCTAGGCTTTTTAGGTTTCATTCAGATTAATCACACACCAGCCACTTCAAAAGAAAAAGAAGCTCATTAGTTTGAGCTTTGCAAATAAGAAAGTGGCAGCAAAGTCGACACTCCCTTTCTTCTCTCTGTGAACTGAGTGTAGAATGTTCAAATTTATCCCATTCTTTCCTTTGGGATAGAAATGATTTGTATCTAGGATGATATATAATTTTTTGTTCAACCTGTAATGATTTTGAGAGATCAAAGAAGTATTAATAATGTCATAAAGGTAACAGGTATAAACTATGACTATCATGGGCTAATGGTATGTGGCACCCACTGGAGTAAGTAAGGCTCAGCGTTGAGGGGTGCCATCTTTTCCACACCGGAAGTTACAGAAGTGGTCTTATCTGAGTAGAAAGGCTGTGATGTCAGCAGTGGCAGCCATTGTGAGCCACCAGGCCTCAGGTTTCCTGGGTCCTTTCATTCTCCATTATTCTACTTCATCCCCACACCCCAGCTTCTCAGAATTGGGGGATGGAAGAAAAGGAGCTTACCATTATCATTCCCTTTTCTAATCTCAAAGTGCAGTTAAAGAAGTGAAGCTAATTGAGCTTTTTGCTGCTTTTGTTAAAATGGAAAGTGGATTTATTTTCAAGCACAACAGTGATGATTAGCATACTAGATAAAAGAAAGATCAGTCTTTCATAGCTGACTTTGGGACCTCCTACAATGGGGAGGGTTGCTGTGTTGCCTTCAGAAGTTAAGTCTTCACCTGATGCTTTAGCAGGCTTTTCAAACAGATTCCCGTTGGAATTCCTTCTGACTTTCAAGATGGTATTCCAGATAGTTCATGTTCTTCTGTATATCCAGGAACTCTTCCATGAAGTCCAAGAGATCAGTTTCACTGTTTTCCGAAGCCAAGATTTTCAGGTCTTAAAGGACCTTGCTTCACATGTGCTCCAACCACAGAGCAGACTGTTTCAGAGTTGCCATTTCCCTGTTACCTACATCAGGCGTCAATTGCTGGAAGACATGTGCTGCACCTTCATGTTTTCTCTGTCAAAGGGAGGAAATCCACAATGTTCTGTATGGGAAAATACCCATATCTTGGCTAATACCCACTTTTTCTTTTTCCTCCCAGGCTCTATGGTTATATAAACAAATAGGAGTTAGAGAAACCATCTGTGTGAGTGTGTTCTGGTGTCTAGGGTAAAGCAGCAAATTGAGGAACATACTATGAGTATTTTCCATCTGAGAGTAGAATTTCCTTTAGAACTCAGTACTTAATGGGATTATAGCCTATGCTATAATAATAGTAACACTAATGTTTTGAGAAAGCAGTAAATGAGAAGATAGAAGTTTGGCTTACAGGGGGATGAAGAAGTTTATTTTCTTTTTTAAAAAGGTTTTATTTGAGAGAGAGTAGAGAGAGAGCCCAAGTGGGGGTGAAGGGTAGAGGCAGAAGGAGACTGCTGAGCAGGAAGCCCGATGCAGGGCTTGATCACAGGACCCTAAGATCATGACCTGAGCTGAAGGCAGATGCTTAACTGACTGCACCACCCAAGCACCCCTGAAGATGTTTATTTTTAATATAATTCACAAGAAATCAAAGTGGGAATGTGATACATGATTTGAATTTATGATAGGGACTGGAGAAATTTATTTGAAACTCAGTATGTAGAGAGGGAATAAACCAAAACTCTACTTAGTGAAAGAAAATAGTGAGAAAAACAGTGAATTAGGTTACCCCTAAATCCTAATGTCTTAACAGAAGTTTGTTTCTTATTCATAGTGCATGGCTAATGAGGGTTGACAGTTCTCAAAAGAGTTAAATAAGGGATCTGGGCTGAGGATGATGCCATTTCAACTCATGCTTCCATAACCATAGGGCAGAGGAAAGGGAACATACCAGTCACATACACACACACAAAAGACAAATTTTTGAATGTGCTATAAAACTCAAATTTACCTTGCCACACATTGCTAATAATGAGTTCGTGATCTCTGTCTGCCAAAAGAATAAATAAAATCTAAAATAAAATTAGATTTTTTTAGATTTGATTTATTTATTTGACAGAGATCACAAGTAGGCAGAGAGGTGGAAGCAGGCTCCCTGCCAAGCAGAAAGCCAGATTCGGGGCCAGATCCCAGGACTCTGGGATCATGACCTGAGCCGAAGGCAGAGGCTTTAACCCACTGAGCCACCCAGACGGCTCTAATAGCAAGTTTTGAAAGTGATCTTTCGGTTTATATTAGTAGCTAAGTTTTTGTAGTGTGCTTAGATGGAATTTATGATGAATTAACCTCTTTCTGTGTATGACTCTATAAATGAAAAGCATTTCAGAGATTGTTTTTTGGGATTTCTCATGATCTTCAAATATGTTTTTTTCAGATGACCATTTTAGGCATTTCTAAATGGCTCTCATACTATTAATCTAAATGCCTCTCATACTCATACTATTGTATGACAGAATATTTCACATCATTCTCTTTTTCTATACCTGGATAAAACCAAACTTTTTCATAACTCATTTGGAAGTAAAATCTGACCTGAATTGACGTAAAGCTATTTGTGGTCTTTATCTCACTTTAATGTGTGAATACGAATATACTTTTGCCACAGAATTCTTAATGTATTTGATTCTGGACTACTTCCCCAGATGTACTGACAGTGTTACAGAATATACAGTATATGCCCATATCACCTTTAAAAAATCTGAATTAATTTAAACATATCTGTCCCTTAAAGTTTCAGAAAAGGGACTACGGATCTGTATTTATATAGTCTCTTTAACAAGCTCATAGAGGTATGATCCAAATTTAATCCAAAGGCATAATTTTCAGGTTTTCTAAATTCTAATATTTTCTCTAACTCATTTATTTGTAACAATGGGAAATACTTTGAGATGCTTGATTTCATAAAGCCACTAGGTGGCATCTTTGTAGAAATAAAAGCACATTAAAAGAAATATTTATTGTATAAATAAATACTGAGATAAATAAAGTAGATGTGTTATGAGAAAGATAAGTAATTTTGGGCAGTAATTCCTGAGAAAATGTACAAGTTTATTGTGAAAAGTAAAATATAAAATGAAATTTAAAAATTACTTTTCTACTTTCAGAATTGAGAGCCTTTTTCCTATTGGTTGTTTTCAGTTTGCTTTCACATTTATTTTGTATAACCAAACAATTATATATTTGTGTGTATATAATGTGTGTGTGTGTGTGTGTGTGTGTGTGTGTGTGTTTGGTAAGTAATAACCATTTCCACCTGCAGACACTACCTCAGAAGCCTACCAATTTAGGCCCATATTGTAAGACTGAGTTGTAGAAGATCATCTCCACAGCCAACCGTAAATAAAATAGGAACATACAGTGGTTATCAAGTCACACTTAACACTGTGAAGTACTTAAAGTTCTCTACCACCAGGTTTTCTTCCCTCCATCTCCTGCCTGTATGCTTAAACCTAGTTTTTTCATACTGTCCCTAACATTAAGGACAACAAACAATACATTTTAAAGAGACCAAGAAAGGTGAGTCTTTAAAACCAGTGGAATTCTCATTACTAATAAAATATAAGATACATTATGATTTACCTGGTTTACCCATGAAGAACTAACCCGAGCAGTTATATGAATGCTTCCCCGTCTTTGCTCTTTACGCATGGTGCCTTCATGAAGTGATTTAAACACATTTGCTTTTATTTAAAATCAGTATTAAAGCCTGTTATATTTGAGAATATAATGCATATTTTATATTGTTCTGGTAAGAAATCTGTCATAAAATGGAATGAAGACATTGGGGAAAAATGAAATTGGACATTAGGAAGTTATTGAGGAGATGAGAATGCAGTTTCAGCGGAATGCTATAAAGGAATGAAGGCACTGAACATTATGAAGGAAGAATGGATTTGTACTACAGACAACAAAAACTTTAATCACTTAATCTTACATGCTTCTTAAATATCAAAGAGTGTTAAAGCAAACAGCATAAAATAGTGGTTTAGGATGGAGGCTCTGGAATCAGACTGCTTGGGTTTAATCCTGGCTCCCCCACAAAACCTCTCTGAGCCTTAGTTTCCTCATTGGTAAAGTGAGGTTAATCAATAAAATCCTTGTAAGAGTTAAATTAGAAATATATGTGAAGTGCTTAGTAACAAATAATATTAGCTATTATTATGAAGCCACATGATAGTTATCACTACATTTGCAACAGGAAGATAGTTGATCCTTTTCCCCAATAACATGTGCTTCTTTAAAAACCTTCTTAAAGAATTTATAGTGATAGAAAAAACCTTTACAATTAGGTGATTAACAAAACTTTTGCTTCTCCTGACTTAAAAGAGGGAATAGCTCCTGTCTCCGTTTTTTTCTTTGGCTGTCGAAAAACTAAGAACCAAGTTCTAATTTTAATAAATGCAAGTAGGCACCTTCTGTGTACAACTGTGTTCTTTTACGTCAAGATCTTCACTCTCATTTGATATTTACATTTTCGCCAAACCCGATTTTTTGTATCTGTAAGCCAAATTGCCGTCAGCGTTTGGTTCGGAGAACTGCGCCCTTTCACAGGTGTAAGAGAAGTTTGGAAAGTAGCGTCCCATTCACTTTGGGATCTAAGTAAGCCCTCCCTGCCGCCTTCCTCCTCCCGCCCCTCCCTCTGCCTCACTGCTCCGCCCGCCGCCAGACCCCGGCCCCGCCTTCCCCTCCCCTGCGTTTCTTCCCTACGCGAGCACCGCCTCTTCTCGCGGCATCAGTGTCCGGCGGGAGGAGGCGGTGGTAGGGCGGTTGCTAGGATATGGCAGGCAACAGAGAATGCGGCGGGTGTGGACGCTGCTTCCTCGGAGCGGTTCTTGAGAAACCTCTGCGACCCGAGTAGCTCCGTTTCTCAGTCAGGTAGGAGGACAGGTTTGGGCTGCCCTCTCCCGGCCCTACCCTCAGACCCGCCTTGGACTGGTGACGACGGCGCGGGACTCCCAGAACTTTGTGCGGGGCGCTGGTCCCGCCTTGGCTCTGCGGACTGCGTGGCCGCTGGACAATGTTCCACCTCTACTTCAAAAATCGTGCAAAACATCCCATTTTTCTTGGTTCCTTTCCTGGCTCTGTATCTCATATTTGGGGTTCGGAAACATCTCCCACCCGGAGTGCTTATCTTAAGTGACAGTAAAGCAAGACCTGTGTGTAACCCAGATCTGACATTAGAAGACGTGTAGGCATCCATGGCGACATTTCCAGTCGAGCCAGTAGAGGGCTTTCACGCCTTCCTCCTTGGCACGCTCCTCCTCTCCTCCCGTGGTCTTTGCCACGCCTCCTAAAAGCTTAAAAATTCAACAGGTGTATTTGGTAGAAGGCAAAACTGGAGCCTTGCCTTACCGGTTACACTAACATTCTAGATACATCAGTGAAATCATGCGTTGTCGGTGAAAGAGGGACTTTTTTTTTCTTGCCACAGCACATACCCTCCTCAATGTCCAACCCCCAACCACCCCATCTCTCCCACCCCCCCTCCCCTCCAGCAACCCTCAGTTTCTTTCCGGAGATTGAGAGTCTCTTATGGTTTGTCTCTTCTGGTTTCATCTTGTTTCATTTTTCCCTCCCTTCTCCTATGATCAAGAGGGACATTTTTGTATACAATCATAATAGGGACTTCTTTTTTCTTTTTGAACAGTTTTTTTAAGATTAAAACATTTACATTTGAATAGGCAAATGTAAAAGGTAGAAAGTTCAAACAGTACAAAGAATGAACAGTGAAATTCTGTTTTACACCCATGTCCTCCCCTCTTCCCTTTATCTTCCACAGTTATTCTGTCCCTATATAAATATGTAGTTGTACCTGTAACGTGGTAGGTACTGCCATGTGTTTTCGTTGGAGGCAGTCATGGAGGTGTGATTGCTGGTTGACCAGTGAACTGAACTGGGGCAATCACAGTCTCCACCCCTGTCCTTGGAATGGGCCTCCCACCCAAGGCCCCTAGCTACGGGCTGCTTCAATGACCCAGAGAGTAATGTGTAATTGAGACCATCTGGACTGGATACCCGACTGAACCCAATAAAGGTCTCTTTAGATAAACTCTTTAAGATTCTGGCAAGTGGGTCCAGAGATCTACTGTCTTGCAGCTGCCAAAGATAAGCCTAGTGTGTAAGGTCCCTCACTTATTAAACTTGCCACCTACAAATCTGGAGTGCTGCCTCTTTATTTAGTTTCTCCTTGGAGTCCATGGTTGGGGCTCAGTATCAGCTTTTACCCCCCACAGAATTCAAGAGGTTGTGAACCATCAGCTTTGCTTTTTCACTTAATTGAATTATACAGTATGTAGCTTTTAGAATTGGCTTAGCATAATCCATTTGAGATTCATCCATGTTGTATCAATAGTTTATTCCTTTTTCTTGAATGAATAGTAGTCCATTTTGTGACTCATAGTATGAGGATCCATACCTCAACAGAGGAACACTTGTGTTGTTTCCGGTGTTGGGTGATTAAGATTTAAGGCTTTACGGATGTCTGGGTGGTTCAGTCCATTAAGCGTCTGCCTTCAGCTCAGGTCATGATCTCAGGGTATTGGGATCAAGTCCCGCAACGAGCTCCCTGCTCAACAGGGATCCTGCTTCTCCCTCTGCCTGACATTCCTCCTGCTTGTGCTCATGCTCTCTCTGGCATATAAATACACAATATCTTAAAAAAAAAAAAAAGAAGAAAGGCTTTATAAACTTGTGTCTGCAAATTTGGTATGAATGTAGTTTTTCATTCTATCTGGGTAAAGAACATAGATTGCTGGGTCATATGATACATGTACATTTAATTTTATAAGAAAAATAAGTTATTTCAAATGTACCAATTTTCCTTTCCACCATCAAGCTATAAGTTCTACTAGTCTTCATACTCACCAGCACTTGACATTGTTGGGCTAAAAAAAAAAAAAAAAATATATATATATATATATGTATATGAAGTTGTATTTCTTTAATAACTAATGATATTGAGCATCTTTTCATGTGCTTGTTCTCAGGACCAGGGCTAGACTGAGGCAACTGAGACAGCTAGGCCCCAAATTTGAGGAGGGATTTATCTTCAGGTGCACCTGCAAGTGTGGCTCAGTGCAGGTGCGACATCACACTTGTGCCACTCCAGTCCTGTCCCCGCCTCTTTGCTTTCTGTATGTACTCTTGTTGACTTGCCTGTTGAACTATTTTACTCACTTTTAAACGGTTACTCTTTTCTTATTGAATTGTGAGAGTTCTCTATATATTCTGGTTACAAGTCCTTGATCAAATAGAAGCTTTGCAAAAAATTGTCTCCCAGGCTATGGTTTGTCCCTTTAGTTTTCTAGTTATGTTTTTTTTGAAGAGCAGACATTCTTTTTTTTTTTTTTTTTAAGATTTTATTTATTTATTTGACAGACAGAGATTACAAGTAGGCAGAGAGGCAGGCAGAGAGAGAGGAGGAAGCAGGCTCCCTGCTGAGCAGAGAGCCCTATGTGGGGCTCCATCCCAGGACTCAGATCATGACCTGAGACGAAGGCAGAGGCTTTAACCCACTGAGCCACCCAGGCGCTCCAAGAGCAGACATTCTTGATTTTGTTTCTGTTTTAGAAGATGACATCTTGGCCCTTTTACTGGAAGGATGACCCACCAGATAGAAACAAAAGCATGACCTCAGCCTCTCCAAAGGGGTGGGAGGAGTATGTTGCCAGGAGTCAGGGCTTCTTTATGATAGTCTTTCTTTAATCAGGCCATTAAGTCCTATTATAGGAGAAAATAGCCAAAAGGAAAAATTTTTTGTAGGTGAGAACCTAAAGAGGTTTCTTGAAATTTTTAAAATTTGAGTTTTTATTTGTTTTTTTTTTTTTTTTTTATTTCACTTTTTTCTTTATTATTTTGGAAGTGTAAAGCTTTCATTTTTTTGTTGTTGTACTTGAAATTCAGGTATGTATATTTAATTTCACAAAGTCTGGGGTTAAGAATATCATAGCCCTCAATTTTGTAAACAGTATAAGAATTTGAGAACCGTTCATTCTCATCTTTCCCTTCCCAATTATATATTGTTATTGTCTAATATTTCAATTTTCTACTGTTATTTTGTGTTGACAGTATTTGTGTTTACCCATATGTTTGTAATTTATTTGTTCACTTTTCCTTTTGCACTTTGAACATCTTTTGAGCCCATTTTCCTCTTTAAGTGTACCCCTTAGAACTTTCTTTAGAGCAGGTATTGTGGTATAACTTATCTGTAAATATTTCTATTTTTTTTTTTCTTGAAAGAGAAATTTGCTAGGTGCACAATTCTAGGTTGATAGTTATCTTCTTTTAATTAGTTCATTGTTACGTTGGCTTCTATACTTCTGATGAGAAATCTTTCCTTTCTTTCCTTTGTATTAATTTCCTTTGTATTTCCTTTCTTTCCTTTGTATTAATGTTAGCAAATTAATATTATCATTATTATTATTCAAAGCAGTAGATGATATATCCTTTATTACTATATGCTCTCCATATCTTCTTTTTGTTACTCTGTAATGTAATTACAATGTATGTGGCTTTGAATTATTGGCTTTGATTCATTGGCTTTGAATTATTGGCTTTGAATTATTTTTACTTATCCCATTGGGCATATATTTACGTTATGCCTCTTGACTGTTTGGATCCATATTTCTCATCAGTTTTGTAAAATTCTCAGCCGTCACCTTTAAAAATATTTTCTCTCTTCTTTTTGTTTTTTCTGGGTTTCCAATTTGGCATATATCAGATCAGGGGCTGACAGACTTTTTCTGGAAAGGGCCTCGCAGGCCACATATAGTCTCGGTTGTTATTTTTTATTTCAAAAGTACAAAAGCATTCTCAGCTTAAGTGAAGATACCCTTAGCAGTAAAATATGCTAGACTTTTTCTCTTTTGCATGGTCCTTAATCTCTCATACTTTTCATATCCTTATCTCTTTGCGGCATTCTATATAAAATCCTTTTCTTTATCTTCTAGTTTACTAATTCTCTCTTCAACTCTAACGCTATATTCATTTAATTCAACACGTACATATTTTTATTCCAGATATTCCATATTTTTGGAAATTTGTCATCTAGCAGCCAGACAACTTCAGTGACTAAGGTTATTATTTTTTTTCTCTGTAAGGATTTGTGCTGAATTTGTTAGCCCCAGACACAGCTTTTTCACCTCACTACTGTTCTGAATTTTAATCTGCCCCTGCTGTTGTTACAGAAATATGCCTCAAGGTCACTTCTGCCCTCCCTTCCTGGCTGCCAGCTTCTATAGGTATCCGTCCCACAGACAGGCTCCTCACTGCTCTGATCCAGCTCCTGCCCCTGAAGCCTAGCAGTCGGCCACCCTAGCCCACTCTGGCCCACGTCCTGGATGCTGTCCTACGGTCTCCCAAGCCAAAGCTCTTGGTTGCTGTACCTCATGCCCTAATCAGCTCCAAGATCAACCCACATTTGTTTGTTGATCTGTTTGTTTTGGGGAACAAAGGTCCTTGGAGACTTGCTACAGTTTGTGAGAACAAAACTACTACAGAGAGTGATACTATCCAGGGTGTGGTTGCTGTGAAGCTGGGGGATTCCTTGGAGCTTCTAATCAGTTGTAATCCCAGAAGCATAAATCCTGTGTTAGTTTGTGTTCAGGAAAAAAACAACAAACTATTCAAATAAGTCCTTTCACAAGGCATTGTTCTTTTTAATAAGGAAGAGGTGACTGTATATTTTAAAATATTTTTCAATATATTCTTTTTTCTTTTTAAGATTTTATTTATTTATTTGAGATAGAATGAGAGTGAGAGCGAGAGTGAGAGCGTGCATAAGCACAGGGAGCAGCAGGCAGAGGGAGAAGCAGACTCCCTGCCGAATAGGGAGCCCAAGGCAGGGCTCCATCCCAGGACTGGGGGATCATGACCTGAGCTGAAGGCAGACCCCCAACCGACTGAGCCAATCAGGTGCCCCTGTTTTTCAGTATATTCTTGATAGTAGATTTTTCTCAAATTGATTATATTTTGAGGTTCTCTTTTGGTTTAATTTCTACTTTCTGTGGTGTTTTTATTAAAAATTCACCAATGCTTTTACTTGATGCCATTACTAAAATAATCAGTATTTTAAAACAAAATAACAAGGAGCATTACAGTGTATTATAAACACTGCTGTATACCACCAATGAATTTGATATCTGGTGTAGAAATTTTTATGTGTAATAAATATATTTATTTTTCTTGGTTCAGGAAAATGTCTGATCAGGAAGAAGAATTTGATGCTGAGAATGTTGTGAATGCATCAGAAGAAAATAAAGATGCTTCTGGGATTATCAGTATTCCACTTCCCTCTGAAGAGTTTCCAGAGTCAGATCAAGCAGAAGATAATGAATCTGAAGTTGAACCATCCAGTGAGGGCTATACAACACATGCTAAGGAGGAAAGTCACCAGGGCTTATCAAACGTGGAACCAGAAGATGAAGAACCACTCATGGAAGAAGCTTTGTTGCCCAAACAAGTTTCATATTTTCCAGAAAGTTCTACAGAGCACTATCTAACTAAATATGATAATGTAATGCAGCCAGCCAAACAGTATTCAAAGCCTGGATCTCTGGCTTTTCTGGATAAGATAAAGGCTATAAAGGAATCTCTGAAAGCATCAGTGAACAATCCTTTAGCAACAGGTATTACATAGGGAAGATAGGAATTTCCTCATTTTGTAGAATGGCTGCTTTTTCAAATTTGTTTTGCTTGAAGATTTGTTTTATATTTGGTATTACATTACTTTCCCTTTCCTTTATCCACCAAACTTCTGTAGCTACTACCACTTGATCTCTTTTTTAAAATTTTTTATTTTTTATTTTTTTTTAAGATTTTATTTATTTATTTGACAGACAGAGATCACAAGTAGGTAGAGAGGCAGGCAGAGAGAGAGGGGGAAGCAGGCTCCCCGCCGAGCAGAGAGCCCAATGCGGGGCTCCATCCCAGGAGCCTGGGATCATGACCCGAGCCGGAAGGCAGAGGCTTTAACCCACTGAGCCACCCAGGTGCCCCTGATCTCTTAATTAAGTGTGAAGATACTCTATTCTGTTCTATCTATTTTCCCAAAATAGATGAACACCATTAAATTTTAAGTTGATATTGATCCATTTTTTCCTAAGTAAAGTATGTTTTTAAAATGTTTAGGAACTTTGGAAAATGGACAGATTCTTGAGTATAATTGTAGTTCTTTTGCATGCCTCTTTGGAATTAATTGTTCATAGCTAGCAAGAAAGAGTTGGAATGGAACTTGACTCCAGATTCCTCGTTTCATATTCAGGGCTCATTCTTCATATCTTGTTACTTTTACATATTTTCATACTTCTGCTTAGGGTTAACTTTATATTTAGCTTTGGAAAAGTTGTTGTTCTCTTGCATTATTGGTTAGTTTTAAAGGCATAATGTCCATGGCATGTAGGAGTTATTACTGCATTGTTGGTAACAAAGCCAAAGTGGAGCAGCAAGAAGGTGGTTATACCTAGAAGCAGCCTACTTGGCTGATTAACTGGTTGCTCCTTTTCCCTCTTGTTTGTTTATTTATTTCAAAAGCTATTTTTGTTATTAAGTTCAGTTAGCCATAATATAGTACATCATTAGTTTTTGACGTAGTGTTCAGTGACTTATTAGTTGTGTATAACAGTGCTCATTATGTCACATGACCTCCTTAATACCCATCACCCAGTTACCCAATCCCTCCACCCCCTTCCCTTCTGCAACCCTCTATTTGTTTTCCCACCTCCAGAGTCTCTCATGGTTTGTCTTCCTCTCTGTTTTCTTCCTATTCAGTTTTCCCTCCCTTCTGCTATGGTCCTCTGTGCTTTTCCTTATATACCACATACAAGTGAAACCATGTAATTTCTTTCTCTGCTTGACTTATTTCACTTAGCATAATACTCTCCAGTTCCATCCATGTCAACGCAAATGGTAGGCATTCATCACTTCTGAGGGCTGAGTAATATCCCATTGTATATATGAACCGTACCTTCTTTATCCATTCATGTGTTCAAGGATGTCTCAGCTCCTTCCACAGTTTGTCTATTGTGGACACTGCTGCTATGAACATTGGGGTGCAGGTGCCCCTTCTTTTCACTCCATCTGTATCTTTGAGGTAAACACCCAGTAGTGCAATTTCTGGGTCATAGGGTAGCTCTAGTTTTAAAGTCTTGAGGAGCCTCCATACTGTTTTCCAGAGTGGCTGTACCAGCTTGCATTCCCACCAACAGTGTAAGAGGCTTCATCTTGGTATCCAAGATCTAGAAAGAACTTACCAACTCAGCACCCAAAAAACAAATAATCCAGTCAAGAATACCAATTCATTTGTTTCTTAAAGTAATCTCTGTGCCCAATGTGCAGCTTGAACTTGCATCCCTGAGATCAAGATTATATGTTCTCCTGACTAAGCCAGCCAGGCAGTCCCTGGGCTCCATTTTTTGATATCTTTGTGATTGCCTGATACTGTAGTTTTTAACAAGCACATGGAAATTAGAACTAAGTTGTCTTGGCCCTGTGCTTTCTAGGGTTTGTGAATTCCTTCACATACCTCCCCTTCCCAAAGCTTAGGAAATCACTGCCATGAAAATGTTAAAATATGTTAATCATAGAATTTTGACTCTATAAAACAACTAGACTAGCTTTCTGATAATTTAACATCTGTGAGAGTGTTTTCTTTGTTGATAGCTATGAAAATAAGTTTTAACAATCTCAAAAAACCTCAGCATTATCAATGCCTAGTTAAATTTTATTCTAGGGTTATTGAAAAATGTGTCATTTAGCTTTATGAAAATTATCATATGTCAGGAATTTAGAAATGTACAAAACTTTTTTGGTCTACAGTGTACACTCTGCCCTCTTACTTGTCACTCACTTCTACATCTTACTCATTACATCTTCTCCATTAAAATTTAAAAATCTGTAGATATAAAAGAAGAAAGTTTACCCCATTATAAGAAGCTTCTATAAAGGTTTTCTTTATTATCAATATGTAAGTGTCTTGATTTCCTATTTTATAGAATGGGTAGTGAGCCACGTAATGTCCATTTTGGTGAAAAGTAGATTTGTATTAGTTATTCCAGATATTTGTAATGAACAGTGATTTTTCTGTTTTACATTTTGGCAGCCATAGTCATAAATCAATTATGGGAAGAAGAGTGGACTTAGATATCTTTTTCTTTGAAAATTTCTCTATTGGATTTTCCTAACTTCATGAATATGCACTGACTTATGGATGCATGCTATCAGTATATAATCAAAGCTTGCACATGCACATCACAGCTTCAGGGACACCCCCTAGGTCTCCGGGCCTCCCGTTCTGCTATTCAGTACATTTCTGAGATGTTCTTCTATTTATATCTGAATAATATAATACCAGATACCAATACCAGATTAGTACCAATTAATACCAGTATGATATCAAATATTGGGACTCTTTAAAAGCAGTTTAGTTTTATTTCCTATTTCTTGTGGAATTCTGAGTGAGAAGGTAATTCTGAATGTGCATGGATCCTCATAGCAGAGAATGGAAAAAAGATTGGAACTTGGAGCTGGGGTTGGGGGAAATTAAGGTCAACTTGCTCCATCATTCTCTCTCTGCTTGTGAACTGTAGGTTGCTGACCCTTGCTTTTGACTATGGTTCTTTCTTTTCTCTTTTTATCTACAGTAAAAGTTGTACTTTTTCCTGTGGGCCAGGAAATTATAATGCCTTTTAAAATAGATATCACTATAAAATACCTCAAGGATCATTTTTCGTATCTACTAAAGATCCCATCTAATATACTGCAGATAAGATATTCAGGTAAGTTGGGAAGCTAATAAAACTTATTTAGTTTTATCATGTGCATAATCAAGATCTTTGATTTGTTAAATTAATATATAGTCTTTGAACATTATATTATGATTATGCATTCATTCAACACATTTTTATTGAGGACATACTTGTTCTAAATACTTAGTTAAGAACTGAAGATGTAAAGAAACATGAAACAAAATCTTCATTCTGAAATTGTTTACAGACTAGTCAGAAAGATGATATAATAATACCACATAATGTGTAAATGTCTTAATGGAGATATGCACAAAAAACTGTGAGAACAGAGAGGAAAGAAACTGGGAGTCTAGAAAGCTTCATTTAATAAAAGTGGTAATATTTGTGCTAAGTCCCAAAGAAGTTAGAAAATCTGGGACCCTGGAGGAAGTTGTAAGAAGTTTAGAGTGGCTAGAAGTAGGTTCTGTGCGGGGAGTGGGAGACAATGAGGTTGAGAGAAGTTGATGAGGAATGAGTATGTATAGAATAAGAAAAGGACTTAAAGATGGTTTCTCTGTCAGTCTTGATACATTAAGGTCAACTCTCTTTCCCATGGTGTTCAAGTTGATTTCTTTTTTATGGGCAGTATTGAGTATCCCACTTTATAGTAGCCTCGTGTCCTGAGAGGACATAGTCTTTGTAACTGTGAAAGAGAGAGTGAGAGCAGCCTAGCTAAATAAATGTTTCTGTAGAATATGTCTGCACAGATGCTAATATTTTAGTTTTGAAGTTTTTGTATTAACTTATAAAGATGCCACAAAAAAAAACTTTCCAGGGAAATAAAAACATTTTTCTGCATGTGGGAAAATCCTAAACACTAAAAATGAGTAAACCATACCTATTAAATTCCTCCTCATCAAATCGGAGAAAACAATCAGTTCAATTTCAAAATTATTTTTAGAAAACTATTATAATGAATATGTTGTAATACTAAGATGCTCATGTATTCAAACAACTGACTATTAAAGCTCGGGTAGAGAAACAACGCTAAAATGTAAATAGTTATTAGTAATAACAATCATGATGGTTAATTTATTGAGATGTACTATGTGCTAGTCCATCTACAGAATGTTTTACCTACATTATCACATTATCATTCAGTCCATACAACAACCCTTTGAGGTAGGTATTGTTGCTAACTTTTTTTGAAGGAAGGAAACTAAAGCTTGGGAAACTTACACAAATTCACACAGCAAATGAATGGTAGAATCTGAACTTAAATATAGGTATGACTCCAAAAACGGAGTTTGAAACTGCTTGCTTGGCATTCTCTATAAGAGGAAGTTCAAAATTGGAGGAGAGAGCAGTTTGAGACTGGAGTCGCTACCCAGTGGTATTTGAGACTCTCTGTTCTTTGTATTTCATGACCAACCTTTATGTGTAGGTGCCAGTCATCACCACTGAGTAACAGGCTTATGTAAGCCATGATAATAAAAGAGCTTGATTCTATGTCAGCTGCTCTCTAACATAGGTGCTTTTTTCTAGTACTAGAATTAGAGTTCAAATTTGGTGGGATTAAGCCTCCTACACAAACTAGAGGAATGACGAGGGCTCTGGGAATCTATATTGGTTTCCTATGGGTGTTGTAATGATTAACCACAAGCTTAATAACTTAACACATGATTTCTCTTACAGTCCTGGATGTCAGAAATCATAGGCCAGTTTCAGTCAGATGAAACGAACATGTGGGCAGGGCTGTTTTCCCTCTGGAAGTTCTGGGGAGAATCTGTTTCTTTGTCTTTTCCAGCTTCTAGAGTTGTACACCGTATTCATAGGCTCATGGCCCCTTCCTCCCTCTTTAAAGCACTCAGTAGAGCCTCTTCAAATCTCTACTTTTGTTTTATCATCTTCTCCTCTGTAGTCAAATCTCCCTTTCTTCCTCGCTAAGGGCATTCATGATTACATTTAGGACCCACATAGATATTCCAGGATAATCTCTCATTTCAAACTTTTTAACTTAAGAACATTTACAGACATCTTTGCTATATAAGTTAGCATTCATAAGTTCTGGGGATTAGGACATGGTTATATTCTGGGGCAATCTATCACATAGTCCATATAATATTCAGTTTACTTTTTTAAGTTAAGAATTTCGGGTCTTTGTGCTTTCTTAAACATAGGGAAAATGGACTGGTGGTATCTGATATATTTCTAAGAATGAGTGTCACAAAATCTTTGGTATGTTCGAGTTCCTACCTATAATTTAGGAAGACCATGCATCGGAAGAGTGATAGAGATTCTATCAAAACAGCAGCCAATAACATTATATATAGTTTTGTATTCCTTGAAATAGAGAAGTAAAATTTGAGTAAATTTACAGGATATACCAATGAAGGGAGATAGAACTAAAAAAGATATAAAATAATATAAAAATAAAGTGATGTACACTTTTTTCCAGCACAAACATAAGCCTTAACTCCACTTTTTCATGAATTTATTTATATGAGTTCCTTATTATAGAAGCAGAAAGGGAAGGATGGAACTCTGAGTATATGCTTTTCTGCATTGGAGAGAGGAATAGGTATGAAAATAATCAAATTTTCCTGATCTAGATATGCCCATGTTCACATATAACACATTTTGATTTTTTAGAGACTCAATGTTTAGAATATGATTTTGCTCATAGAATATGTTTTTATTTTTAAATAGTTATAGAGTTGCATGGTTATTCTATATTTGTATTTCTGATGAGAAATCTTATGAGAGTTGTAGCTTTACTTATAGTGCTGAATTCTTGCATCTTAACTTTTCCCATTGTGGCACTTTCTGTACTAACATTACAGCAAGGGGTAGACATCATCAATATTCTATCCAGTAATTGAACTATATGTGTTCATACAATCATCTTTGATGTTTTCCATCCCCTTACAATGAGTATATATGGTTATTTCTTTGTCATAGCACTTCTAATTTCATGTCATTTTTAGGAATGATTCTTAAAAATAATGAGACTCTACTGCAACATGGAGTTAAGCCACAGGATATTGTACAAGTGGAAATTTTTTCTACAGATCCAGATCTATTTCCAATCAAAAGAATACAAGGATTAAATGATGCCTCTCAAATCATAACTGTCAGAGTACAAACTGGTTAGTTACTTCATGTCTTTTAGATAAAGTATTTTAGAGTCCTTTTGTAGGTGAACTTTCATTCAGTCTTGGTTTTACCCCCTTAGGCATTACTGAGTACCAGGAGGTAGCTGTTGAGATTATAAAATCTGACTTTCACAAACCGTTTCTTGGTGGATTCAGACATAAAATAACAGGAATAGAATATCACAATGCTGGAACACAAACTGTACCTAAAAAGATTCCCAAAAAAGACAATGTATTTTGTAGGGATACCCAGGTAATATTTTTATTTTTCTGTGTAGGTTTTTGAAACTGCAGAATGAACAGATGTTTTGTGTACCTCCCTAAAATTAAAAATTGCCTCATTTGCCATGATGTGAATGGAGCTAAAGAGTATTATGCTAAGCGAAATAAGTCAGAGAAAGACAAATACTGTCTGATTTCATTCATATGTGAAATTTAAGAAACAAAACAAACAAGCAAAGGGGAAAAAAGAGAGAGAGAGAGGCAAACCAAAAAACAGACTCTGAACTATGGAGAACAAACTGATGGTTACCAGAGGGGAGGAGGTGAGAGGATGGGTAGATAGGTGATGGGGATTAGGGAGTGCACTTGTTGTGATGCATGAAGTGTTCAGTTACTCTGTTGTACATCTGAAGCTAATATTACACTGTATGTTAACTAACTGGAATTTAAATAAAAACCTAAAAAAATTAAGTTAAAATCTTCCAAGGAATTATACAGTAATTCAAATAATAACAGAAAATTAACACAGAAAAATGTCCTCTTTACTCACTTAGATGTGTACATAGTGGATATTTAAATTTTTATGTTTTGATTTTAGACAGTTCTTCAGAGAAAAAAGTTCCAACAGACTACAAATACAACATCCACGCAGATGACTAAAATTGGTGTGTATGTATCAAACATGACTGATAAACTGGTAACACCAGGAAATTATTTTTCAGCAGCAGAATACCATGCTCAAAGACTACAGTCGGTAAGATAACTCTTATTATGAGTGAATACTATTACTAAGAATGAAAGAAATGAGCCAGTTGCTCTGTGTGCATCTTTGTGTGTTTCCTTAAGCCACACTAGCTTACAAAACAATCCACATGGGTGCTGTTAAAGAAAAAATTACTCATAACACATACTGAAGATGGTAAGGCAGACTTTTAGGAGGGGCTACTACAATGGGGTTTTTTGGTCGGGAAAAGAGTCTGGGCTCAACTTTAAATACAAGGAAAAGTGGAAATTTATAGCCAAGGAGTAGGGTAGAGGTCGGTGGATGGAAAATTACTAAGAAAACATCAGAGGTAAGGGGAGATTCTGGCTAAACCATCCTAAACAGGATTTTTTACTGAAGGCAGACCAGAGTTGATTAGGCATTGTCTGGAGCCATATATTATAAGTATATTATAAGATCAAATTTTCTTATATATTATAAGAGCCTCATTAAATATTGAGGATAGGATCCTGGTTAAACTGACTGAGCAGGCTTTTGCTAAAATTGAACAATTCAGACATGATCACAGAAGCCCAAAAGTTGAGGCCTAATTAAAAAACTGCTCAGAGGGGCCTGATTAGAGTTTGGTCAAGGAGAGAATCTTTATTAGTGTGAGTTCTGTTTCACTGGTATTAAAAGCAGTTTTTATCTCCGGTCTCTCCCCTAGAAGGAACCATAATCCTAAATGCCCCTAATCCTTCCTTCCCTTTCTCTTAGGGATTCCTAAGGGTTTGTGTGTTACCTTTGGGCATTGTTAGCTTTGTCTTCTCTATACCTTGGCCTTAATCATTGGGACAGTAGAATCACCTAGGGGGCTTTCCAGAGTAATTGAAACCAAAAGGACACCAAAGTCTGTTTTCTCTAATATTAACATAGCCACTCCAACTCTTTTATGTTATTGTTTGCATAGTCTATCTTTTTCTGTCCTTTTACTTTCAACCTATTTGAGTCTTAATCTAGAATATTTCTGTATAGACAATATAATTTGATTTTGTCTTTTTATCTAGTCTGATAATCTCTACCTTGTGATTGAAGTATTTAATACATTTATATTTAATGTAATTATTGTTAAGGTTGGATTATACCAGCCATTTGCTATTTGTTTTCTGTATGTCAGATGTCTCTCTTGTCCTCTCTTCTTCCTTTGCTGTCTTTTATGTTAAATAGGTATTTTCCAATGAACCATTTTAATTCTTTCAGTTTTTTTTTCCATTTAAAACCCTTTTTTCAAGATAATATATACTTTTTAAAAAGTATACAATTCAATGACTTTTATTACATACAGAGTTATACAATATTTAGAATGTTCTCATCATCCCAGAAAAAAAAAATCCTGATCCAATAGCAGTCAGTCCCTATTTCCCTCCAATGTTTTCTGCCTTAGGAAACCACTAATCTACTTTCTGCCTCTGTTGGTTTACCTATTCTGGATATTTCATATACATGGAATCATACAATATGTAATCTTTTGTGATTGGCTTTTTAAAAACATAGCATAATGTTTTCAAGGCTCTTCCATGTTGTGACATGTACCAATACTTCATTCTTTTATATTACAGAATAATATCCCATTGTATATACTCAACTGGATATACCTATTGTATCCATGCCAATGTATATACTGAATTTTGTTTATTTATCGGTTGATGGACATTTGAGCTGTTTCCACTTATTGGCTGTTAGGAATAAAGCTGCCATAAACATTTGTGTACGAATTTTTATGTGGACATATATTTTCATTGCTCTTGGGTATATGTCCAGGAGTGTAATTGCTGGATCATTTGGTAAGTATGTGTCTAACCTTTTTGAGGAACTGCCAGACTGTTTTTCAAAGCAGCTGCACCATTTTATGTCCCACCAGCAGTGGACAAGGATTCTAATATCTTCACATATCTTCACATCCTCATCGACACTTGTTACTGTCTATATTTTTCATTACAGATGTCCTAGTAAGTCTGAAGGGATATCTCATTGTGGTTTTGATTTGCATACCCTGATGGCTAATGATATTGAATATCTTTTCATGTGCTTATTAGCAACATTTTACATTGTCAGAGACATTTTTGATATGATGACATGTGGGGGGGTGCGACCATGCTTTAATGGGTAGAAAACAAGGATACTGCCAGACATCCTATAAGCATAGGAACACTAGCCCCACTGCAACAGATAATTACCTGGTCCAAAGTATCAACAGTGCCATTGCTAAAACCTGCTTTAGGGTCTGTCTCTATCACAGTAGGTAGTCATTGATTCTCTGGTCAATTTGTTATTGTTGTTGTTTTTCTATTTCTAAGTTTGCCTTCCTGAGGACCCCTGGTTTAGCATTCCCTAATGGTTAGGTAATGATTGACTAGAGGTTGTGCTCAAATTCCTTGATCTAGTAAAGCTTCCACTTTAAAACAAAACAAAAACAAAAACTTCCACTTTAGCTAATGGACCCATGTGTATATTGAAAGATGCATTCAAAGTCCAGACAAGTTCAGTTTCTGTATATCCTGGCTTTTACTTTCTGCTGGGTTTTCTTCTTGCGTTTCTGCTGCACAAGACCTCACAGCTGGGATATGGAAACAGGGAACACCTTTTCCCTGTTTCCCACCTTTTCCTTTTCTCTGAATATGTGTTTATCCTTGTACATGTGTTCAGCCTTTATGCTACTAGGGATATTTGGGAGGTTATCACAGCTCACTATGGCTATCTCATTTTCCTGATCTCCCTGATTAATTTCTGGCTAGTCTGCCTGTCTATTGCTTGCTTCAGAAGACAATCCCAGCTGAGTTGCTGGCTGGTTTGTTTTTGTTTTTTTGTGGGGTTTTTTTTTTTGTTTTTTTTTTTTTTTTGCACTGAGATTACTGTTGTTTGTGACATTGCTTGTGACATTGCAACCCATGCCTGAGTTGCCATTCTTTTGTCTTTTTCTCCCTTGCTACTGGTTGGAAGATGATGAGAAATGGGCCAGCCACCTAGGTCATAAAAGTAGAAGCCATTTGTTGAATATAATAGAGCTTTCTACCAGCTCTAAACTGCTTGCTAATCCCTGGATTATGATATAAGAAGGGAAAAACTTGTATTTATTGTTTAAACAACTGTGTTTTAGTGTCACTATTTAATAAGTGTAATAACACCCAAGTTAAATGCATTCTATTGATTTTTATTTAAATTAAGAAAAAATAAAAATTTTATAAAATCTTTTTGTTGGTTTTTAAATATTGATTCAATATTTAATTGAATATTTTTTTCAATTAAATTTTTTCTCTGAAAATGTTAACTCTAGTCTGGTCTTGATTTTTGTTTTGTTTTGTTTTACTGTAGTACAGTGGTTCTAAAACTTTAGCAGGCATCAGGAACACCAAGAGAACTTGTAAGGTACAGAATCTGTGCCCTACCCAGGATTTCTCATTCAGTAGCTCTGGTGTGGGGCCTGATAATTTGCATTTCTAAGTTTTCCAGATGAAACTGTTGGTCTGACCATTACTCTTTGAGAACCACTGTTCTAGTAATTCTGTTTCACATAAAAGTAAACTTTTCTTTGTTGAATGAGCTGCCTTATATTTTTTGGGCTCTTCCCAAATGTTTGGTTATTCTTCGGTGTGTAGGCAGGGTATTTGAAGTCCCCATTGTCCAGTGTGCTAAGCATATTTGTTTACTACAGTCTTATGGGGTAGTTTTAGGGGATGGCCAAGCCTTGATTGTGGAAGAGAGGTAGTGTTCTGAAGAGGGAGCTTCTGTTCGGATTCCTGGGTGTCACCAGCCTCTGTGCACTAACTGTTCTTGCCTAGAGGCAAATATTTCTGTTGCTGCATTTCTCAGTCAGTTACCTTATCAATTGCCAGAACATCCCTTCTGCTCATAATCCATTGGTTAAGGGCTGGAGTAGTCTTTCACTCTTCTGTATTTTCTAACTTGCCTTTCCACCTTCCCCGTGGACGATTAGGCATAGATTCTTTAATTTAGTCTACCGGTCTCCTTTCTTGAGGGAATTCTTCAGAGTTTCTGTTCCTTTGGAGGACTCCTTTAGTATGACCCCATGTCCTTATTGATTTCTGCTTACATGATTTTCTGTAATTACCAAGGATTAGACTATTGTAAAGGGATGAGTCAGCATATTCTCTGTCCTCAATTTTGATCTAGCCTCTCCACATTTTATTTACACGTTTAGTAAATACAAATATGAGCTCTCTTAGCTGCATTGCAAGTTTCTTGAGGATTTAGTACTGTACTGTAACCCCAGACATACTTATATTTCTCACAGTTTAACAAACACGTGTTTGCTTAAGTCTTTCCTTTATCTAACCTGCCTTTGATGTCTTCTACACATAACCTACCTGCCTTGTGTTTAGTTAATGAAATTTTGTTTTAATTATGAGCCTAAGCTAATGATAGTTAAGATAAACTAGAGACAATTAATATTCATAACAATAATGGTATTTATTGAGGACTTGTGATATATCAGGGTTAAGCTGAGGGCTTTATATGCAAAATCAAAATTTAAAAAAACTAGTGAGTAGCGGAGGGCAGATTTAGACCTAAATTTTACTTCAGAGCCTGTGCTCTTAAACATTGTGCTAACTGCCTCCTAGGAAGGCGTATTTGCTAGATTTCAAAGCCAAGTTGCTGATGTGCAGTACCCACAGCTTATATGTCTAATGTGTGTGAGAACACCTGGCATAGGGCAAACCTAGACTCTCGGTACTCTCTAGTAATTACACACTGAAATAGAAATAATCACCATTGCCTTTTGTTATTGTCTGATATAGTTGATAATGAATACTTTTTATTTCCTTTTAATTTAACTATAGGTAATAGTGCTACAGACTTACTATAGACAATGGCATGCTAAAGTTGTGGTAGAGAATTTAAAAAGACAGAAAATGTTAAGATTCAAGTGGGAAGCAGAGGAAGAAGTAAGGAAAACACAAGAAAAAGAGGAATGGATCAAATTGGACTACTACCGGAGGCATAATCCTCAAACAAAAGAAGATTTTGAGCTTCTTTATAATGCCCTGGAACGTGAGTTTGAAATAGCCTTCACATAAAATATTAGTTTTATAAGTTTTCACCAGTAGGAAAAACAGGTTTACTAAAGACAGAAAGAAAACATTATTTCAGGATGATGTCGTAGGAATCTTCGACTAGAGAATTTAAAGAGATAAATAATGTTTTACATTTGGGACAAGAATTAAGGCAGAAATAAAATTGGGAATGCTTTTATATTAGCAGTGGGTAAATAAAATGTGTATACTGCTCTGTAAATTACGTGGTTTTGGTGTATTATCTCATTTGATCATCCCTGTGAGGTAAAAAGGGAAGTATTGTCCAATCTGATTCTCTGATGGTCTTGGCAATTTGTGAACTCAGAGCCGAGCAATTTGGAATCCCTCAGTTTAACAGTCTGTCTCTGAGTCCGCTCTTTTAATTCCCACCCATTAATGATCAGTATAAATGTATTGTCTCAACACAAGTGACTTATGCCTTATTTCTTCCACAAGATATGTGCTAGTCATTGACACAATTAAAAGCTTCAGTTACTTGACTGGCCAAGCACTGCCTACTCAGGGCAGTAGCTACACTGTTCTTGAAGCCTTTTCCCATTGCCTCCTTCCAATCTCAGCTTAAATTTTGTCAGAGGCTTCTGTGACTGACAGAAGAACCTGGATATCCTGTTGTCATCACGGTTCCCACTGTACCCAAAACTTTTCATTTATGTTACCACCACAGTTTGTAATAACACATCTTTTTGTTTAACATTAATTTTCACCACCAGATGGTAACCTCCATGAGAGAAAAACTTAGTTTTTTTTTTTTTTTTTTGGATGCTTTCTTTTTCTGTGCTTAGTTCACATGCCCAACAAATATTGATAGAATGAATGAGTGGGTCCCTAAGGAGAAACCCAAAGATGTTGAAATGCAGCCATCTCTAGCTTGAGTAACAGAACATGTTCAATTTTAGGTGTCAGATATTGGGTCTATTTAAATAGCTATATGGTAACATGGTATTTACCAAAAGATGAAACAATTAAACACTTGGTCTAACAAGCAATACTAATACATTGTTCTCTTTGGTAACATGCAAAACTGAGTGGCTTTAGAAATGTGGCAGTGTTTGAGGTAACAGCCTTCTCCTTCAGCTTTACGTCTGCCTCCCCTTTCTCCTAATTGTTGACCTCCACAAATGCTTTCTGTTTTACTTTAAACTTCACTTCCATTTTCATTTTCTCTCAGATGAAAACAAAGTTTGTTTCTAAGTGTTAAGAGTTAAAAGACAGTACTGTTGGCAAAGTGTCTGTGAAAGGTCTTATTAACAAGCATGAAACTAAAGTTCTGGTATAACAGAACTCTATTCAAATAATTTTCCAAATTCACATATGAAAAAAATCAAAGGATATTTTATTGTTATTTTGCTCGGTTGACAGTTGTGCAAACAAAAGAAAATATGCTGAATGAGGTTCTACTTTTTCTACTTAATGGCTATTAACTTGGACAAGTCACTCACTTCTAAACCTTAGGTTCTTCATCTATAAAAGGACTTAATGAGGGGTGCCTGGGTGGCTCAGTGGGCTAGGCCGCTGCCTTCGGCTCAGGTCATGGTCTCAGGGTCCTGGGATCGAGCCCCACATCGGACTCTCTACTGAGCAGAGAGCCTGCTTCCCCCTCTCTCTGCCTGCCTCTCCGCCTACTTGTGATCTCTGTTAAATAAATAAAAAAAGACATTTAAAAAAAAAAGGACTTAATGATCTTTGGCATATTTACTGCACAGGGCTTTATAAAGTGAAAATAAATATTGCATTTATGAAAGTACTTTAAAAGCGCAAATACATACATACATAAGTTACTGTTATATGGTAAATAATTTTATACCATTTTCTATATTAAAGTAGAACACACATACTTTGTATGTCTACACATGATTTGTATGGGAGAAAATGAAATTTCTTACATAAAAGAAGCATTTCTTAGTTTATTTCCAGCCCTGAAATTCTAAATTAAAATTCAATAATTTAGAAGTTGTTTTGTTGTTGTCTTTGAAACTGCTGCCCTCTTGTGGCTCCTAGTGGCAATTGCATAATTTGAATTATAGCCCCTAATTATTTTTCCTTTGGGTAATATGTCCCTCGGTAATAAAAGCAAAATATATCATTTTAAGAAAATGAATATTAGTATGTAAGAAAATGTAATTGGTCAAAGTTAAGACCATTTCCAGGCAACACTATTTTATTTTTATGTTTTTTTTTCTTTTTCTTGTAGCAGTATGTTGAAGGTGACTCCTTTCATTGATCTGAATTGTCACTCTTACTTCAGCATAGGGATCATTATCTTTAGGAAACTTCTCTTGGCAGCACAAATTAGGCTCAAAGCCTGTTTTCCTTCTCCATGATTCTCTGTAAACACCACTTTCTTAACTGTCTACATTTGTACGGAGGGCGCCTGATAAGACACTTGCTCATTTTATGTAGTAAATATTTGTTGAATTGAATCTGCTAACCCTTTGCCTTGTTTTAACTTGTGCTGATGGCATTTTCTGACCTTCTCTAATTCTTATTTCTTGATCTCAATCTATCTTGACTTCTATCTTCTGGAGTCCATTGACGTACTCTGGCTCTGGGCGTTCACTGAATCTTTCTTGATTCTCTCCATTTAGGCTTTCAGTCTGTGAATGAGGATTTTAAAAAGCAGATTATAAACTGCTAGTGGTGGACAAAATCTTGTATGTTCTGCTATTTCTTATTTGAAAATTGCAAGTTTAGATCTCAGAAATTTTAGAATGTGTATAGACTTTAGGACTAGTCCTGTCCTTTCATTTTATAGTTGAACTTCAGACCTGGAAATTGGATGATTTGTCCAAGAAGATAAATTAAGGAGATAAAATATATTCTTTCAAATGAACTAGTTCCTTTAATATCTTTTTCTTTAAAAATATTGGTGGCTATTGACATCTGTTATGTACTGAATTGTGTTCCTCCAAAAATTCATATGTTGAAGTCCTAGCCCCTAGCACCTCAAAATATAGCTGAATTTGGAGACAGGACCTTTGAAAAAGTAATTTGGAAAAAAATAATGTCACATGGATGAGCCCTAACCGGTATGACTGATGTCCTTAAAAGGAGAGGGGATTAGGTGACACACACACAAACACACACACACAAAAGATCATGTAGAGACTTTGGAGGATGGTGTCCCTTTAGACTAGGAGAGAGGCCCTCAGAAGAAACTAACCCTGCCATCACCTTGATTTTGAACTTCTGTCTTCCAGAACTGTGAGGACATAAATACATTTCTGTTTTTTTAAGCCACCCAATGTATGATACTTTGTTATGGCAGTCCTAGAAAACTAATTCAGTATTCCAGTTTTGTTTTTGTTTTTATCAGCATCATCCCCATGGAACATATGTTTTATGAAAGGGGGCAGAATCTCTTTTGTTTTCGTAAATGTTTTTTCTGTATAGGTCTGGAAACTGTGAATTCAGAAAGAAAGTTTTGTCCATCTACTCCTGATTCCTGTGTGTTTCTATTCCTTATCGGTAGTTGGGACATGCTATTTCTCTGATGTCATGTCCCATTCCTTACTATAAATTTACAGGAGGTTGTTCATCTAATGGAGAATTTTGTTGGAATGCAAGCCCATTATTTTAATTTCTATTAGCTTCACTGGATTGTTCTCTTTTAAAAAATCATACTAATAATTTGAGCAAAATGTGAAGTCTGAATATATATGAATATAAATGAATTTGAGTACATATATATATATATATATATATGCACCAGGACTTAAGTATTAATCTTAGGAGAGCAGTATATTGTTATTCGAGGTTGGTGGAATAGCTTAAGTAATATCCTAGTGGCCTAAATTTATTATTGGCCCCAAAGGTTTCTAATGTAAAACTGGAAGTAAAATAGGCTTACTTATATCATTCAATTTTTATTTGCTTTCTGGGAACATCTATATAATCCCATGAGATAAATATTCTCAGTTATTATTTCCACAAGCAAGCAATTTTTCTCTTCATTCATATACTGCCTTTGGATATATGGATTTTGTCAAATTTTTAAAAGTTCTTTTGGTTGGTAGAACTACTCTTAAAGGATAAACTCATCAATCATAGATTTTCTGGACTTTCATAACAAAATTTAGGCCTTAAATTTGCAACCCTTTTGCTGAAGACAATTTAGCTTTTAAATTTAAAAATCTTTTTCAACAGACAAAGCTGTACAGTGTCTGAATAATGTATTCCTGGTAAGGGACAGAGTGGATTCTTATAAAGAGTATCAGTGGCATGTCCTTGGCCTGATCAGGATGATTTCAAATGGAAAGTTGAGAGGAAGAAGAAGTAGCTTGATAAAACTTTAAAACTAGATATTATCAAAGGCAGTGGTTATAACACAAGAAGGCCAGAAACAACAATTTATTTTAGAGAGAGAGAGAACATGAGTAGGGGTAGGGGCAGAGGGAGAGAGGGAATCTCAAGCTGATTCCTGGCTGAGCGCAGAGCCCCTTATGGGCTTGATCCCAGAACCCTCAGATCATGACCTGAGCCTAAATCAAGAGTCAGCTGCTCAACCAACTGAGTCACCCAGGTGCCCCTAAAATAAATACATAAATCTTAAAAAGAATAATAATCATTAGTTTTAAGACTAAGAAATTTGAGTCATCTTATGGAGGAATTTAGCTGGAAAGGTAAAACACAATTTAGTGATAGGTATTTTCACATATATCAGAATAGTAAACATTATATATATATATATATATATATATATATACACACACACACACACATATATGAGAAATGTATATATATTAAAATAGTAACCACATTTATATATTTATATACATATATATGGGAAGGAAATAACATGTTACCCTCTGTGTATCCTCTTTTGGGTGGTTATCTTCCTGAGGGAAATTCTTCTTCTTCTTTTTTTTTATCATTTGATTTTCTTTTTTCTTTTTCTTTTTTTTTTCTGAGTAAGCTCTATACCCAAGGCGGTGCTCAACCTCACAACTCCAAGATAAAGAGTTACAGGCTCCACCGAATGAGCCCACAGGGCACCCCACAAAGTGTATGCTTTAATCCCCATCACCTGTTTCCCCTCCTCCCATCCACCTCCTCTCTGGTAGCCATCAGTTTGTTCTCTAGAGTTATGAGTCTGTTTCTTGGTTTTCCCCTCTCTCTTTTTTTACCCCCTTGGTTCGTTTGTTTTGTTTCTTGAATTCCACATCTGAGTGAGATCATATGGTATTTGTCTTTCTGACCGCCTTATTTGGCTTAGTTGGCAAAAACACATATTCTTGAAGGGGGATCTGAGTAGTACATGTTCATGGCTGCTACAAACCCAAACCGTATATTTTTCAATACTGGGGAGAGCATAGTGAAACATTATCTGGGCTGATTTCCTTTGTCTTCCCTTTATTTGACTCTAATTTTATTGCTTTAAGTTTCTCAGCTTCCATTTTATCCTATTTTTTCATATGTCAGGTGTACGATATGGATGCTTATATTCATGTATAATTTTATTTAAATTGACATACAAATAAAATACTGTTTGTCAGGATATGAGGTAAAAAAATTTTCTGAAAAGATGTGGGATTTTAAAAACTCAAGAGTTTTTCATGTTATTCTTCTAGTCTGGAAGCAAGAAGAATTTGTACGCATTAACCAGTCTTTCACTGGAGCTGAAAGGAAAGCTGCTCTATGCGAACTTCTGGAGAAAGAGACCCAGATAATTGCTTCCGTTGGGAGGCATAGATACATCGCATACATGGCAAACCGGGAAGCATCAATACAAGCTTTTTTGGATAAGGTTAGTAAAGTAACAATTATTTAAATAAGAATGTATCCTGAGTTTAAAAATGTAGAATAATAAACTAAAGAAGAGAACTTACATTGTACAAATTTACATGTTTAAAATTTGTGTGGGTGTGTTCCTTTTTTCTGTTACAGTTTTAGACTTTTAACTGTGGCCTAGACTAATAGTTGACAATTATGATGAAATCAATATGTTCTTGACTAAAAGGTTTTGGCCATGAAGGAAAAAATAAAGCTACCTTCCTTGTGACTGTTCATTTAGCTTTAGGCTGGCTCTGGAAGTTAGATGAATTGCACACCCTGATGAAATGGAGAATTATTGAAGTCACAGAATGTCTGGGTTTGGGATGTCTCATAGAAACCAACCTGGGGAAAAGAGATTTGTGTTTTTGCTTTTGCTCACCAGGTCATTAACTGACTAGAACTTTCTGATCAAAAGCATCTATGATTATTGAAAACCATGAAAACATACACTTAAGGGAAAAACTAATTACCTTTTCGTGTTGAAATGGCCCATTTGATATTGATTGCATAGCGTGTTTCCATAGTGACCGATCTCCTTTTGTAAATCTGATCTTTCCCAACAATTAAAAGCTATTCCAGAAAAGAAGAAAAGAGAGTTCTTCAAGATCTTTGCCTATAGTGACTCTAGTTGTATGCTTCTTGTTATTTGAGCATACTCATTCTTAAAAAACTTGTTTTTTTGATACTATAAATGCCCTCTCATTTTACTAATACACTCTCCTGTTTGATCTCAATTTTTCTTGTGGCTTTAACTACTACCTACAGGCTGGAACTCCCTGCAGGTCCAAACCAGACCCCTCTCAGGAGCTTCCAAATCACATATCCAATTGCCTGTTGTTATTGCTCTCTGGGTGTCCCAAGAATACACCTTAAGTTGACATGTCCACACTGAAATTAAACCATCTCACTGGTTCCTCATCTCCAAACTGATCCTATTTTGTAGCACTCACATAATCTGTCTTCATGGATGTTTCATCATCTATGTATTTGCTTCAGGCAGACACCTGGGCATTACTCTTGACATCCCATCCAACCACCAACCAGTTTGTTTTATTACTTTAATGATCTTCTCAGTCCTTTATTTCTATCTTTTCAAAGCCACTACTACTGTGTATAGGGAAATGGCTCTGCCATAGCACCCTTGTGGTGTAAGGTTACCCTGATGACCTTGCCTGTACCCGAACAGGCCAGGCAGGCGAAGACTTGAACCACAGCTAATCTGAATCCTGGTGGAATGCCTTGTGATCCTGCTGGAAAATGAAAGGATGGGAGGCTTCTGAAGAAATGCTGTGGAGCAGTTCCTTTCTTTTGCTCCCCTGGGTCCCCTCAGAGGCGGTCATGAGAGGTCTTGTAATGTGTATGTGAGCTTGACAGTGATTCAGTTGAATGTGGGTTTCCTTCTCATTTGGATCACTTTCTGTCTCCAGATGAGGCTCAGCCTCCAGTCTCACCTCTGTCATCCAGACCGCTGCCCTAGTGACCTCACTACACACAGCTCTGCTCCTGCCCCTCCTTACTGTCCTCAGGGAGCAAGGATTTTCGTCATCGATCCTCAGCACATCTCGCCTGTCCTGCTGTTGTCTCACTGTCATCTCTCCTCGCAACTATAGCTACACTCCTCCGGCTGTGCGTATTCACTTGCACAGCCTGAGAAAGACCACGTGCCTTCTTCCATGCGTCTGCCTCTAGTGTTGCCTCCACACAGAGCATCCTTTCCCTCCTTCCTTAGTAGCTAGCTAGCTACGTACCCTTCAAAACAAGCTGATGCCCCTTCTCCCAGAAGGGATCTGCTGATCGTCCTACTCTAGCCTGTCCTATACACTTTCATGAGACCCTGTTTCACTTTTGTTTTAGTACATAGTGGTCAGTTTTTTTATATCTACTTACATATCTGTATTTACATCTGTGAATCATTCTTAGATCCTGAGTTTCTGAACCAAGAGCAGTCTTTCTCTCTGTGTCCTCCTATCCTAGCAGGGTGCTGATCATTGAGTTTTACTAAATGCTTGTGGAGAAGGCAGGGAGGAAAACAAGGGACAGAAATAATGGTTGTGTAATTTCGTATTTCAGGTATTATCAAGAAATTAGGCACTGTAGATACTGTCATTTCAGATTCTTGAACCTCTTCATTCTAGAAAAGCTGGAAGCATAGTATTCATATTTTTCCAGTCATATTTCAAACTAAAGTTATTCCTTTAGCAAGTTTCTTTATCTTGAATCCGGCTTCACCACCAGGAACTGTGTTCCTTACGTGTCTGATCATTAACCTTACCCACAAGGGTAGCATGGACATAGGGCAGCAGAGACCCAGAATGTTTAAAGGAGCTGGGGGCCTCTGAGGTGCGGTGGACAGGGAGGATGAGTGGCACCTGCCCTTCCTCATTTGAGGCTAGAACTTCTACAGGAGTTCCTAGTTAGGCTTTCTCTGATGCTTTGTTTGCTATAAACTACTTTAAATCCTTCTTGTTAATACTTATATAGTATCTATCCTACTTATGTCTTTATACCCCCTCCCAGCCTACCCCACCACCCCAGGCTTCAGGTCTAACATTGTATCTAAACCTTTTTTGAATTATAAAGAGATCGAGTCCCCATATACAATATTGACTCCGGAGCCGGTTGATGCCCATTGCTCTTTCTCATGAAGAGACTCTACGAAGGTCTTGAAATCTCACCAAAAAAAAAAAAAAAAAAAAAAAAAAATTGAGGTGGAGAAATGTTGTTCACAAAAATTTTCATGAGAAAGAAGGATGTGGTCTTAGTCTTTTTTTTTTTTTTGTAAAAACTGTTAAGTTTTTAGGGTAGGAACTAAGACCTGAAGGATCCTAAGTGTAGAAAGAATTGCCAAGAAGTTGGAAGTCTTTTGAGTGTTGCCAGAAGAGAAAAAGAGAAAGTTGATTGAGGAGACAGTTGGAAGGCAATGGGCACAATGTGACTTTTTACTAAATAAATGATTAAGGGCAAGATTTTTTCTTTTTCTTTCTTTCTTTCTTTCTTTCTTTTTTTTTTTTTTTCTTGTTGTTGTTGTTAGTAAGAGGAGATGGAACAAGAGAAATGATTGGGGCTTAGTGTCCACACTGATTCAAGACAACACAAAAGGATGCAAGGAAGACCAGAAGACTGAAGGAAAAAGGGAAAAATTAGCCACAAGAACTTGTAGAAATCAAGGGAAAGGTTTTTTGTGAGTCATAGGTTTTAGAATTTGAATTCTAAATTCACAGTTACCTCAGCTGATAAACCAATCCTCAGGCTAAGATTTAAAGGAAATGGACATTTTAGCTGATACAAAGGAATCTTACCTTAGTTTTGACCAAAATGTTGTTCAGGGCAAGGAAAACACATCCACAGGTTGGCACTGCTACTCTTGAAGTTGATCCTAATCCATTACATAGCTTAATTAGTCTAGTCCTTAAAAATATTGACTAACAGTGACTTTGGCCTACTTTTAACCTGTTATGGTAAATTACAAAATCTTTGTTATTCTATTTAAATTCATTTAAATCACTTTTTTGTATAGATGCCATACTAAACATTATAGAAAACAATAGAGTTAGGGGCGCCTGGGTGGCTCAGTCTTAAGTGTGTTAAGTATCTGCCTTCAGCTCAGGTCATGATCCCAGGGTTCTGGGCTTCCTGCTGGGTGGGGAGTTGGCTTCTCCCTCTCCTACTCCCCCTGCCTCTGCTTGTGTTCCCTGTCTCGCTGTATCTCTCTCTCTGTCAAATAAATAAATAAAGAAAGAAAAGACCAATAAAGATAGATTCTATAGTCTTTCCTTGGAAATACTTCTACAATATCTACTCCTCTTTAGGCCTGTCTGCCTCTTCCCTCCCCCACACCTAGCACTGTCTCTAATATTCAGGTGGAGACAGTGCTGATTTCATAAAACTTGAAGTAACTTATTATCCAGCAGTTTTTTTTTATTACTAAGAAAAAGTAGCTTATAATTAATTAATCCCTGAAACTAATCAATGTCAGAGTTTTTCAAATGTCAAAACTAATGATCAGAGCTATAATGCAGACTTTCAAATCCGCATTTAGCTCTGTAATGTATAGATATATAATGAAAATATTTATTTTCCTATAATTTGGAAATAACTTTGGAGAATAAAATTTTATGTTTGGTTTTAGTTTAACTTCATTGTATTTAAATATTACATGGTTTACTGAACTAATATTTTATTTATTTATTTATTTATTTTTTTAAAGGATTTTTATTTATCTATTTGACAGAAATCACAAGTAGGCAGAGAGAGATATTGGAGGAAGCAGGCTCCCCACTGAGCAGAGAGCCCGATGTGGGGCTCGATCCCAGGACCCTGGGATCATGACCTGAGCCGAAGGCAGAGGCTTTAACCCACTGAGCCACCCAGGCGCCCCTTAATATTTTATTTTTAATCCTCTTATCCTGCACATAGAATTTCTGAGTAATGAATGCTGTTATTTCCAATAGTCCAATCAAGGCGTTAAACTAATCAGCTATTATGGATTCATACTAAGTCTTCATTCTCCATAAAAGGCTTAATCTAAAGATTTTTTTGAAGTATTAGTTAAATAATCTGTAATTTTAACACCTTTAACACATCAAACATTGACCTTGGCAGCCAATAGAGATGAAAAAAAGCAGGCCAAGAAATTCGAATAAGAAAGCATCAGCCAGTTTCTAGAGTATCTTGGTTTCTCTTCACCCAAACTGTGTTAAAGAGACAATTTGAATTTCTTCAGGACATTTTCTCTAGAGTCAAGGCCATTTATTTCTTTGATTCATATACCATTTCTCACAGTCACTAGCTAAAAAAACTGTAGTCCTTGTGAGCTCTGTCATTTAAATTTTTTTTTTCTCCCCCATACTCTGGTGGCCAACAGTTAATGAGATAGGAAAAATGCAACCGATTTCTGCTTCTCTCTGAGCACCGTAGTTCACAGGGGTGTCCTCTGTGTATGAACAAAACCCCTTTGCTGTTGTAAAAGAAAAGTTGATCACTACGCAGTAGCTTTTGGGGGGTTAGGGTTATTCTTAATTTGTGCCCTTGTGGACCTGAGTATTAATTTAGGAGGAAGAAAGCCCTCCTCTCCCAGTGCAGTCATTTCTCCTCTTCTGTGGAAGCCTGCTGCTCTCAAGGTTTTTGTTATCTCTCCACCTTCCCTTCCTTGAAATGTGTCTTCCTGCTGTTCTTCTGTTTCTCTCCTCTGGAGTCTGCCCTGTCTCAGTTGTTGGCAGCTTAATGGAATTTGTTACGCTCCTGTTTTCCAAAGCAATTTAAGAACATGATTGTTGTACATCTTTTATTACAGCCAAAGCATTCAAAGAAAAAAGAAAATAGGAAAGAGAAACAAGCAAGGTTGATGCATTTTCCTGTGTCAGAGTTAAAAAAAAAAAAAATACCTTAAGGCCTGAAATCAAAGAAGCTTAGACTTGAATGAAGACCAAGTTATCAGTGTTGGCAGAAATATATCCAAGTGTAAAAACAGCTTTGTCAAACAGAATTTTTTTCTATCTTTTACTGCTAACTAGAGAAATTCAAACTTCAAATCCAGGATTCTTTGATTATATTGCTCAGTTCCCTTTACTCTGGCTAATTCCTGGTTATTCTTCAGGTTTCATCTTGGATACGATTTTCTTTTCACCCAATAATTGCTTCATAGCAACCTGTGGTTAGTTTCCTATTTACCTGCAATCATCAAGCGTAATCACCCTTTATTTTAATTACTTATTTTCTTATCTTTACATGTTATTAGACTTGAGAGTTCATGAAGTCAGTATATTATTTTATTTACTCTGCCTAATTCACTGACTAATATATAGTAAACACAACAAATATTTGTTGAATGAATGAATGAATGAGTATGGTAGGCCCTATCAGATATACAGAACTATGTGAGAGATTTATTTCTTATAATCTTTCAGGAGAAATAAAATTAACAAACAAGATAACTATAGAACAATTTGGATTTAAATTTCATTGCCTGAGTGATTGAAATAGACACACTGCATACTTGTGTGTGTGCATGTGTGTGTTCACAAGTAGCAAATGTGTTCACAGTAGCCCTTCAGATACCAGCAATGTCATTGGCTCAAAACATAGTAGTTAAGAATTTTTATGGAAAAGGTAGGGTTTGGATTAAAACTTGGAGGGTGGGAAGGATTTGGACATTGAATGTATTTGGAAAAAATCCAAGGTATTACCATATCATACCATATTATATAGTGCTAAAAACTTGGAGGGGAGATGGAGTTAAATCAGTCTTACCAGCTAAAATACAATTTAGTAGATGAACTATGCATTTTATTAAAAAATAGTTATGCTTGAATTATTAGAAATGAAGTAAGTTACTGCCTGCAGAGCAAAAGGTTTTGTCCACATTACTGAAAGAAAGGACATTGCATTTAATAGAACCACCCTGAAGAAAATTGCATGGAAAGATAAAGATATTAGTTAGACTTTAAAATATCACAATATGAAACTTAGCCTAAGATTGCTTATACCTTAAAACTTTTAAAAAAGGAGCCTTGAAACAAACATTAAACTTTAATAACACTCTGAGGCCTACCCCAAACAAGGCTATATCTATTTTAAACTATATATATATTTATTTGTTTCTAAGTAATAATAATTAAATGACTAAATATTTTCTTTTTTAAAAGTGGTTTTTTTGTTGTTGTTGTTGTTGTTGTTTTTTGTTTTTTGTTTTTTTTTTAGTAAGAGCAGGACAGAGAGAGAAAGCACATGAGCAGGGGGAGGGGCAGAGGGAAAGGTAGAAGCAGACTCCTTGCTGACGAGGGTCTCAAAGGAGCTTGATCAAAGAACCCCAGGATCACGAGCTGAGCTGAAGGCAGACTCTGAACCAACTCAGCCACCCAGGCGCCCCTATAAGATATTTTCTTACTGAGCTATTTCCCTTTTATAATCCTTTATAAATTTGAGTTAATTCTATCAGTCTGCTAAATTGTAGTACATTATTTAATATTAGGTTTATGCCCTAAGAATATAGATTTATTGTAGGCTTACAGCCTCTCATTTGCTGAATTAAAACTAGAACTGGAATCTAAAGTTTCTGATGAAAATTCCTAGCTCTGAACAGCACTTATTTTGGCTTTGTTCAGAAAATGCTGCCATTCCTTTGAAAACATATCAAATAAAGTTGTTTTTAGATGGTTCTTTTCAGTTTTCAATGCAATTTAGCTAATATGAAATGCAAAAAAACATTTAAAAGTAATTTAAGTCTGCAACTAAAAATTCCTCATGATACTGTCATTCTAAATACAACCTTATATTATTCTCTATTTGGCTAGTCTGCATTCCTGATGATTTGTTCCTATATGTGGGCTTCTGTTTAAACTTTAAATTGTATCAAATCTAAGATTTAAATGGCTTCAAGTATGGCATAAATTGGACTGCAGGTCTCCAAAGCAATTACCATTCAGCATATAAAAAATCCAGCCTTTGGACAATTAATAGTCATCATCAAAATAGCCTTGTCTCTGACAGATTAACATCAGGGAAAGAAATTGAGCAGCTTTATTACCACAAAGGAGAGGAGAAAATAGTGAGTTTTCACTATGAAATTTCTAGGTGAATGCATTTTTTCTTAAAGTCTCAGTAAGAAGGAACAGGAGCAGTGTCAAACACAGATTTAATCTTCATTAGAGATTGCAGTGGTGTCTCTGGTGTCTTACTCCACACTCTGTCTCCTGAATTCTTAGCCCAAGAGTCTGCAGATGAGTTTCAGGGCAAGGGAAAGCCATTTTTAACCCTCAGTTCCTGGGGTGGGCTAGGTTGGGAGGCACCAATCCAGATTTGGAAATAGGGAGTGAGAATAGGGAAATAGGGAGTGAGAATAGGGAAATAGGGAGTCCCATCAGCTGGGACCATAGCACTGCTAAGATAGCTAAATATAGCTGTTTGACCAGGACATCTGCTTTGTAAGGAACTGTGAACTTGTTATAGATTTATGTTATGGAAAACAAAACCTTAACTCACAGAGTCCCGTTTTGTAGTATCTGTAGGTCTAATGCCTTGAGGATTATAACCGTTGCTCCTCAAAAGTTGTTTTCAATTGGCAAAGCATGATCAAGACACATTTCTATAAATCAATATAACCAAGCAGATTATATTTTTACACATTCCAAATAGCATGCCTTTTCCCAAAGGGTAATGAGTTATTCCGTATACCCATTAAGCCATCCGACATACTGATTAGTACAAACTAGTAGCAAATTCTGAACCCTGTAGAAATGTTTGCACTTCGGCAGACTGAATAGCTCTTTTATATATATATATTTTTTCCCTAAAATGTTTTACTTTCCCATGGTCTACAAATTCCTCAATTAATTTCCTCAAGTTTTAGTGATACTTTTTTCATAAAGCGTATGATACTAAGTTAGCTTTTAACAGAAGTAACAAAATTATTTTTTAACCTTTCATTAACCGATAATTATAAACATAATATTATTTTTAAGTGTTCAGCTCCAAAGGTATGGAGAACATTGAGTGGCAAAATAATTGAGATGGATACACAGTTTACCATCAGAGCCAGAGAGCTGCAGAACATCTATAAGTGCATTCTACTGAAAAATATCTCTCAAGATGAAAGGCTGGATGTACTCCTAACGCTTAAACATACTGTGAAGGTACATTAACTTTCTCTTAGTTTTGAGGTATTACTATCAATTTTTAAAAAATGAATACTACAATAAACTGTCTTATATCAATTGTAAAGATGATTAATCAATGTTTATATACATGAATTTATTTTGTCAACAGCTGTATTGTTTTGGTGTACTTCGGGGAGGATGTGGTTTATGCATTAATATTTATCTAAAAGTTCTCAAACTATATATTATGATATGTAATAAATATAAATGTAGCAAAATGAATATTCTAAACATAAATATACCCATATCTATGCAGCGGATGCAAATACATGGGGATTAATACTCAACTCAGTTCAATAAAACAGCAATTGTCTATATATTGACACTTTTCAGTGAAAATTTTATTTTTAGCAGTTTTAAAGTGGTATTAGAATATTTTAATTTTTTTCTCTTTATTGACTTAAGACACTTTAAGTGGTTGAGTAGATGGTTCTTGTTGGAAAGTAAGTCTCCATAGATCTCTTGTATTTCTCCCCATTTTTTAAATTTTTATTTATTTATTTTGGAGAGAGAGCAGGAGTGGAGGGAAGCAGCAGAAGGAGAGGGAGAAGCAGACTTCCCAACACTGGGCTCTATCCCAGGACTCTGAGGTCATGACCTGAGCCACACTTAACCAGCTGAGCCACCCAGGTGCCCCCATTTCTTCTCATGTTGAGAACAAAGGCATTGACTCATTTAGGCATTGACTGCCTTTGTCCTGGATTACCTTTTTAAAGATGTTTGTGTAGTGACTAACATTGGAAGATAGAAATAGTTGGGAAGAAAGTGAGAAGCAGTAGGTCCAGAGATTGGAAATGAGTATGATATCCATGGTGGGCAGTAAAAAAGCCAGATTGGAAAAAAGAGTGCAGGTAGGGAAGAATACAGTTAGAAATCCTCCTAATTGACATACTTAGGAACATAAACTGCTTAATGACAATAGTAATAAAAAGAAAACAAAAACAAAGGGTAGGCTTATAAAAATAAATTGTGCATATCTTAAATAATATGTTTAACCTAGTATATCTACATGTATATTTATTTAACAATATTTTGATAGAGGATTAAGGCCTTTAAGCATGATTCAAATTCTGGATCTATTCATTATGGCTATATTATATTAGATAAGTTATTTAATATTTCTGAAAATCGGTTTCATCATTTATAGAATTAGTTGCTTAGAGGATATAAATATATGTGTGTATATATATGTACATATATATTTATAAAATATAAATAACTATAATCTATATATCTTAGTGCTTACAAATAGGGAGCCCTCAATGAATTATAGGTATTACTTTGATGACATTACTAAGGGAGACCAGGGAATCTTAAACCTGAGTACACATTAGAATCATCTGGAGAGCTTGGAAGAGCAAGATTCACAGAGCCAGGAGAGAGTTTGAAAGAGAGAGAATATGAGAATCAATGAATAAGGGATAATATCTAGGCCCCATTTCAGAGAAGTTAAATTGGATCCTCAAGTGGGAGGGCAATGTTAAAACCTTTAAAAATCTCCCCTAGGTCATTGTAATATGCCTTTATGGTCAGGGACCCCTGATACAGACTCTTGAGTTAGCTTTACCAAGAATGTATTAAAAGGTGCAGAAGAACATTATTTTACAGTTACACTGACTTCACGTTCTGACTCCTCATTCAAACTGTGTTTCTTTTAATCCTCTCTTGAGCAGTTGGAGCAACATACTTCTGTTTTACTACTCATAGATCCTACCTTAATCACCTGACTCCTACTTGGGGCTTTCCTTTTCAACCATACTCATTTCTGTGACTTTATCAAAAAATTATTGTAAATTATACAAATTTTCAGAAAAAATATGTAAAATATACGTATATATACAATTTAACAAATATGAAGTCATCAACCATGTAACCTGTCTCAGACCCCAGAACAGGACATTGCCAACATTGTGAGTATCCCTCTTTTTCTTTGAAATCCCAGTTCACCTTCTCATCCCCTAGAATGTTGACTTTCACAGCAGTCATTTCCTTGATTCTCTTTATATTTTTACCACCTATGTATGATGTATGTATGTGTGTGTGTGTGTGTGTATATATATATATATATATATATATATATGTATCTACATATATCTTTAAATAATATAGTTTAGTGTTGCTTACTTTTGGATTTTATTTAAATGGAATGATACTGTGCCTTGCTGCTTTTGCTCAACAACATTAATTTGTAAGATTGGTTTGGTATTGTATATAGCTGTACTCATTTCCGTACATGTGATATTCTATCAATATATGTATTCTATGAATAAGCCATCACTTATTTATGTCATCAATTTATTTGTGGATATTTGGTTGTTTCTAATTTTGAATTATATGAACAATGATTCTATATGCACATTTCTCTAAAGCACCTAAAGAGTGGAATTGGTAGATTGCAGATTACACATATCTGAAGCTCTACTAGATAATGTCAAGTTTTTTTCCAAGTTAGTTGAACCAATTTATACTCCTACCAGTTTCTTTTGGAATTTCTTCATTTTAGAATATAGTTTTCAGTTTGGTGATAATTTTGAAAACTAACTTAGTGACTTTAAAAATTCTGTACTGAATATGTTTGTGTTTTATATAGGAACATGAATGTAAACTGACTCAGGAAATTCTAGAATTGATTGACAGAGAGGTGGACCTTATAATGAGAGGAGTCAAACATTGTAATCTTGAAGGACTCAGAAAAAGAATTGCAACACTCTTTTTTCATTACATCAAAACACCTCTATTTAATCCAGAAGTTGCAAGACATCTTAAGGTACTCTACTTTTTTTCCTTTATTCCTTTCTCAGAATTCTGAGATACGCCATAGTAAATTGAAGTACATTCAAATTTTGTTTTAATGCTTTAACTTGGGGTCCATGTGGAAGACCATCTTGTTGGTGAAATCTCTTTTGAATGATTGTTTTTTATGTCAATAAATTAAATATAGTCATTTAATTTCTTCTGTGTTTGTATTTTTAAGTTTGAATTCTTCCCTACTCTCTGAACCAAACTGAATATTACACTGAGCAATCCTATTCTCTCACACTATCATGCTTTTGAACATACTGCTATTTCCTCCTGGAATGCTGTCCCCTACTTCACTCAGCTAACTCTTGTTCATTTTCTGACATTTAATTCATGGGTCCCTTCCTTCATGAGGACTCAGAGAGAGTTAAACTCTTCATTTCTGGGATTCTACATGTGCCTTGTTTGTGTTTCCTTATAAGACTTATTGCTTAGGGACGCCTGGGTGGCTCAGTTGGTTAAGCGGCTGCCTTCGGCTCAGGTCATGATCCGGGCATCCTGGGATCGAGTCCCACATTGGGTTCCTTACTCAGCGGGGAGTCTGCTTCTCCCTCTGCCTGCCATTCTGTCTGCCTGTGCTCACTCTCTCTCTCTCTCTGACAAATAAAATCTTAAAAAAAAAAAAAAAAGATGTATTGCTTAGTCATAGTTATGACTGAACAGATATCCTGAGAGAGCTTCCAAGTGTAACATGTATTTGAATTAAACTACCATTTCCAGCTCCAACATGCTTAGGCCTCTATGAGGATTTTGCTGTCTAGAGTCAAGGAAAGTATCTTACTGCCTTCTTACTGTCCAAAACTATTTAAAAACACTTTTAAGTTTGGAAGGGAGCGGTTTACTAAAGAATTCTAAATAGTGTTATATTCTAATGATTATATTTAGAAGATTTTATTAAGAAGCCGGCTAAATATGTATTTTGCTCTTTTTTTGATGTAAAATCTCAATATTTAGATAAAACTTTTATTTTTTATTTTTTATTTTTCAAAAGATTTTATTCATTTATTTGAGAGACAGAGAGAGAGAGAGAGAGAGAATGAGAGAGAGAGAGAAAGAGAACATGAGAAGGGGGAGGGTCAGAGGGAGAAGCAGACTCCCTGCCGGACTCGATCATGGGACTCCAGGATCATGACCTGAGCCGAAGGCAGTTGCTTAACCAAATGAGACACCCAGGCACCCTAGTTAAAACTTTTAGAAAAATAAAATTAATTTCATATTTTATTTTAAATGGATTTTTATTTTTTTATTTGTTATTATTTCTTAAAGATTTATTTATTTTTAGAGAGAGCAAAAGAAGGAGAGAACACATGCAAATGGGTGAAGTAGAGGGAGAGGGAATAAGAGAATCCTAAGCACACTCCCCACTGAGCCCAGAACTTGATGTGGGGCTCGATCTTACAACCCTGAGATCAGATCTGAGCAGAAACCAAGAATTGGATGCTCTACTGATGGAGCCACCCTGCTACCCCTTTAATGGATTTTTTTTAAAAAAGATTTTATTTATTTATTTGACAGAGATCACAAGTAGGCAGAGAGGCAGGCAGAGAGGGAGAGAGGAGGAAGCAGGCTCCTCTCTGAGCAGAGAGCCCAATGCGGGGCTCGCTCCCAGGACCCTGAGATCATGACCTGAGCTGAAGGCAGAGGCTTCAACCCACTGAGCCACCCAGGTGCCCCCCTTTAATGGATTTTTAAAAATTAATTGTATTGCAAGAGAATATAACAAAAAGTCGGTGTGCCTGGCTGCCTCAGTCTGTAGAACATGCAACTCTTGATCTCAGGATTATAAGTTTGAGCTCCACATTGGGTGGAAAGATTAGTTAAAAATAAAATCTTAAAATATATATATATATAAATATAACAAAACTCCAAGAGAAAAATTGCCCATTATATTATTTCTTATTCAAATTAATGTTCTACTAGCCCAAGCTACCTTCTGGTCCTCTATATACTTAACTCAGCTTTTATAAATTTGCAGTAATAGATTTTAATATTCTACACATTCACATAACAAATTTGACTATTTGGGGTCACTTTTGACAAATGCAGTCATGTAATCAATAGCACAATCAAGATAAGAAATAGTCTTGCCTCCTCCCCCTGAGTTCCCTCATGCTGCCACTTTGTAGTCACCCCTTCCCCCAGCAACCTGACCCTTGACGGACAGGGGTGTGCATTGTATATCTATGGTTATACCCAAGCCCATGTGTCATATAAATGGAATCCCACTATATGTAACTTTTTGAGAACAAGCTTCCTTCCTTTAGCATATTACATTTGATACTCACCCATGTTTTTGAGTGTATCATTAATTTTTGTTAGAGTTGAGTAATATTTTTGTTGTCTGGGTATACTAGAGCTTTTTTAGCCATTCACAGTTATAGAACATTAGACTGTTTTTTAGTGTTGGGCTTTTGTGAGTAAAATCACTACAAACACTTGATTGTGAGTTTTTGTGTAAATTGATTGTTTTGGATTAAATACGTAGGAAGTGGGATTTTTGAGTCATCTGGTAAATGCATATTTACTTTTATAAGAGATGGCCAAACTTTCTTTCCACACTGGCTGAACCATGTTTCATCCCTATCTCTAATGTGAGAGTTCCAATAGTTCTGCATCCTTGTCAGAAGCTGGGATTGCCAGTCTCTTTTAATTTTGGTTAATTTATTTAAATGGAATGATACTGTGCCTTGCTTGTACAGCAAGTTGCTTGTTGGAGGCATCATGCTTCCTGATTTCAAAGTATATTCCAAAGCTATATAGTTCAAACAGTGTGATATTGGCAAAAAAACAGATACATAGATCAGTGCCACAAAATAGAAAGCCCAAAAACAAACCCACAATGGAGTTAAGAACATACCATCGAGAAAGGATAGTTTCCTTACTAAATTATGTTGAAAAAACTGAAAAGCCACATGCAAAAAAAATCAACCTTTATCTCACACCACATACAAAAATCAACTCAAAATAGGTTAAAGATTTAACTATAAGACCTGAAACTATAATACTATTAAAAGGAAATACAGGGAAAATCTTGTTGACCTTGACCTTAGCAGTGATTTTTTGGTCATGATAATAAAAGCAAAGGTGACAGAAGCAAAAATAGATGTGATTTATCAAATTGAAAATCTTTTACACAGAGAGGAAACAGTCAACAAAATGAAAGGTGACCTACAGGATGGGAAAAAATATTTGCAAACCATGTATCTGATGAGTTAATCCAAAAAAAAAAAGTCACTTATAACAACTCAACAGCAAAATAATTTTAACCCAGCTTAAAAATGGGCAAAAGAGGGGCACTTGTGTGGCTCAGTGGGTTATGCTTCTGCCTTCAGCTCAGGTTATGATCTCAGGGTCCTGGGATCGAGCCCCGTGTCAGGCTCTCTGCTTGGTGGGGAGCCTGCCTCCCCCACCTGCTGCTCTGCCTACTTGTGATCTCTCTCTCTGTCAAATAAATAAAAAAATCTTAATGAGCAAAAGACCTCAATAGACATTTTCTCGAAGAAGATGTAATGGCCAACATGAACATGAAAAAGTGCTTCACACCACTAATGTTTGGGAAATGCATACCCAAACCACAATGAAATATCCTCTTATACCTATAAGAATGGCTAGTATCAAAAAGACAAGAAATAACAACTGTTGGTAAAGATAGGGAGAAAAGGGAACGCTTGTATTATTCTGTTCTCTGAAATTTAAATTGGTACAGCCATTACAGAAAACAGTACAGAAGTTCCTCAAAAAAATAAAAATAGAATCACTATATGATATAGAATTTCAAGTTTTGAATATGGATCATTAAACCAATCCAAATTTAGTGTTAAGATAAATGAAATGAGAAAAACACTTAATTTAGCAGGCTTTTATTTATGTGTGAATCTAGCCTGTAAGATTAATGTAGCAGGACACCAAAAATCTAAATTCTTTTAAAAAATAATACAGATTTCTTAATATTTTGGCAGGATAAATGAATACTGCTTGAAATTTAAATTTTGTGTAGAATGGGAAGTTAAAGGAAATAAGACTAAGAGTTAACCAACTTTTTAATCTCATTCTAAGATAAGTTAGCCCTCAGTGCTTCTGTTGAATAATGTTTGGCCTGACTTTTGTAACTTTCTTTCTTTTTTTCTTTTTCTCTTTCTTTCTTTTTTTTTTTTTTTCTTTTACTACTTAGGTCCCTCCAGACCCATTGAAGTTTTATAAGAAGATTTATTTTTGCCACGGTTGCCAGCTCTATTTGCCTTCCACAGAGTTTGCCGTCTCATCCACCTTACACCGCATATACCGGTGTCGTCACTGTATTAACCTTGACAATGAGACTCGACAACGAGAATCATTTTTGAAGTACAAATGTCTACTTCAGCGGCTCTACTATTCAGAAGCTGATTATGAAGATGATTCCAAAATTGCTTTCCTGATCCAGGTATGATCAGTGCGGGTTGCCAGTCATGGATGAAATTTGTTCACTGATTTTACAGAAAAGATTCCTGCTTTCCCACAGAAACCTTTTAAAATAATTGTTTGGGGTGCCAGGGTGGCTCAGTGGGTTAAGCCTCTGCCTTCGGCTCGGGTCGTGATATCAGGGTCCTGGGACCGAGCCCCGCATTGGGCTCTCTGCTCAGCGGGGAGCCTGCTTCTCTCTCTCTCTGCCTGCCTCTCTGCCTACTTGTGATCTCTATCAAATAAATAAATGAAAATCTTTAAAATAATGGTTCTTTTCTTTATGCTTATACTTTGCGAAGCTTGCCCCTCTGGCAATTCTAAGTCTGAAGACCTCGGGATAAAAAACCATTTCAAGAATTTTAGCTACTATGGTTTAGATTAAAAAACAAAAAAAAGGTTTTTAAACAGTTACTTCATTCCCCCCCCCATTTTCCTTCTTTTTTCATTAAGACAACAAAGTCTTTTAATAACACTAAGGAAATTGCTTAATCCTTATCAAATCTCAATTTCTTCATTTGTAAAGTGGAAAAAAAAATGGCCTACAATAACCCTGAGGATAGGGTTAGGATAAGGATATTGGTGAATAATACATTTTGAGAAGCCCTGAATATCATATATACGTAAGGTAAAATTAGCATACTGGAGGAAATATATGCATCTTTCTCTGGGTTAAAGATGCAGTCTCTCTGATTGTGAAACTAATAATGTAGCTTGGGCAGAGTGAGCAGAGATTTGGTGAAAAATTAGAAGATATGGGGCACCTGGGTGGCTCAGTGGGTTAAAGCCTCTATCTTCGGCTCAGGTCATGATCTCAGGGTCCTGGAATAGAGCCCCGCATCAGGCCCTCTGCTCAGCAGGGAGCCTGCTTCCCCCGCCCTCTCTCAGTCTGCCTCTCTGCCTACTTATGATCTCTGTCAAATAAATAAATAAATAAACTCTTTAAAAAAATTAGAAGATATAAGAAGCACTAAAAACTTCATGAATAAAGTTTCTCTTTTAAAAATATGCTCAATATGATTATTTCCTCAAGTAATAGAATAATCTTAAAGAATTGTTATGTTTAGAAGAAAACATTATTTTTCAAACTTGTGTTGATATGCAGCTACAAGATATTCAGTACCTGGTAGAGAACATCTGGGCATCGCAGTCAGTGCTTAGCGCCTGGAAGGATCTCAATGATCTGGTCATGGTCAGGTGGGATAAGTCCTTGGAATGGTCCCCCTGGAACTGCATTCTTCTTACCAAAGACGAAGGTGTTGCTCATCTCAAGCTAACAAGTATTGAAGAGGTAAGAAAGTGGAAATTTATTTGAGGAATTAATTTGATCAGTGAAAATATTAGAGTGTAACCTTTTACTACATTCCATGCATAATTTTCATACTTCCATTGGATGAAGAAACAAAGAACGAATAACAGTAACAAAATGTGTGGATGGTATTGATGGCTATGATTAAAATTAAAAGGATGCTAAGGCATAGAAAAGGACAAGATAAGAGATCTGAACATCTTGCAAGTATCTAAACTTAGTTCCCCTCTCTGCTAATAATAACAAGTTCAAGAGTGTCATTCCATGGTAAATTCCATGAGTACAGGGAATTTTATTTAGCTTATTCATGTCTGTCTCTCTAATAAACTACACCAGTGCCTGTCACACGTTAGGAGTTTTAGTAAGTATTTGCTGAATGAATAAATTAAATACCAGATAGATATTATATAACCTAGAATCTGCCCTTCTTTGATTAACCATCATGAGTCTGTCTAAAAAGCACACTAAATTCTCAAATTTTGCTCATAATCTTGTGCTCTAAATGGGAATCATAGTGAGGGGTATGGTTCTGAGACTCCATTTTTTATTTTCTCCCAACTAACTTGGAGTGAGGAAAGCACTGTAAAAATTCAATACCATTTAATTTTAGTTACTTACAAGATGCATTCCATAAAACCTTTTGATGAGCAGAATTGAGTTCATCAGAGATTCACTTACACCTAGCAAACATAGGATCCCAACAGCTGATACTGATTCTCTACCTTCTATTGATTAAATTTCTATACTATTAATTTCATGCAAAATATCAGTTAAGAGAAAATAAAGAAATGACTTCAAATTTAATAGTCATTTTGAATGGTGCTATTCCCTGCTTCTGTTTTTACTGGGGAGGCAGAAGGTATAAAGAGGAGAAACTAGTTAAATCTTTAGCTTTTTTGAATATTTTCTAGGAGAAGCCAGGCTCAGAAAAAGGGATTGAAAGAAAAAACAGCATGAAACTGAAACTGTGTTAAATATTATATTTAGTAAACTAAACTGCTTCATAAATATTTAATCACAGAAAGCATAGCCAACACTACAATATTATTTCATCTAGGACCCGTAGTGGGATTGAAGTTCATTCCCAAAGCTGATATTACTGCTTCAACTAATCCATGCACTCCTTTTGTGTATTTAATCAAATTACTGCAGTACCAAATTAAATGTTCTATTCACATGCATTTCTGATTTCAGGATGACGATCTTACTGAATTTCTATAAATAGAGCTAAGGTTCTCAACAAAACAAACTAAAAAAAAAAAAACCCAGTAACAACATCTTTTTATGGTTTTGGCCTAATGTAATCGGTTAAGTATTAATATTCAGCCTCATTAAAGAATAGTTTATGTCTTGCCACAAGTTAAAGCATTTCTAGGATTTCCTTAATACCCATAGATATTTGCTTTCTCAGTAAGTAAAAAAATGCTCAAAATTTAAAATAATCTTGGCTCCCTGAAATCATGACACAAGTTATAGGAAAAGCCTGGAAAAAGGCTTCTGTTCTCTGAATGTAAATGATGCAGAGCAGTTTCTTGTGTGCACATTGGTCAAAGTAGGAACAATAGTGAATTTAAAGTCAGGAGACCTGACCCAGTATTTCCCCATTTCTGTCGCTCGTAATCTATAGGACCTTAAGACCTACTTCTTTGCATCATAAATTTTTGTGAAGGTTAGCTAAATGCATGCAATCAATACAGAGGATCAGAGCAGCCCTGGTTGAATTCTGGCTCTATCACTTAGGAGCTGGGAGAAGTCGAGCAAATTTGCTCATGTCTCGGGGCCTTAGTTCCCTCATCTGTCAAAAGGGGATAATGTGAAAAGGGGATAATATATACTGGATATCTTTCCATATTATATTACTCTTTAAAAGTTGCTTATTGTTCCTTTGCTTGTATGTACCATAATATTCTTATCTTACCTTTAATGATTACATTTTTGTTCTGTGAAGGTGCTTTGAAAAACTTTTAAGTTCTGTACACATGTAATTTAGTGTTGCATATCAGAAATGTGTTAGTTTTCTTAATGAAGTAAGGACTAAGAAGTGGTAGAACACAGATTAGTGCAAGGGATGAGTATTTTACCCTGATATATGTGTCTGTAGAGAGGAAAATTAAAAATAGGCCCAGGGAACTCCTACATAATAATCTCTGCCAGAATATTGTATGCTTTGGCTCCTTTTCTCCAGGCTTTTTTTTACCTTTGTTTTGACATGATAGAGGGATCTTTAGTGAGGGATGTCTTACTATTAGAAAACAAATTTTAGGAGGAGGTACAAGTTGTATTTGTGATTTGATTGAAAAGAAGTGTCGATTAAGATTAATAAAGGAAATAGATGGTATTTATTAATTCAATTAGAATTTTCTTTTGAATGTGCCTGCCCCGTACTGTGCTAGGTGCTTGGAGTAAAACAAGGATGTGTATGGATACAAGTCTTCATTGTTTCGGCTGTATCCAAGTTTGGTTGCAAAGAACAGACTAAGCAATTGATAATGACTTAATCAAATGGGAAGTTGGTTTCCATCAAGCAAGAAGTCCAGAGGTTGGCAGTCTGGGGTCCAGATGGTGGCTCCATAGTGCTCTCAGAAACCCAGGCCCTCTGACCTTTTCTTCAGCTCGGTTTAACACTTGACTTTCATTCTCATGCTTGTGGACTCTTAGGGATGAAATAGTTAAATCATCTCCTGCATTCTCTTAAAAAAACTTTCTTGTACGCTTTGTCCAATGGCTTCTGTTATATGTATGTATGTATGTATGTATGTATATACATACATATGTATGTATGTATGTATGTATATACATACATACGTATGTATAATGGCCGGAAACTTGTCACATGCCCGCCCCTAGCTGGAATAAAGGCTGGGAAAGCTGAGCACAATACAAGATCAGGCCTCCAAATACCAGGGGAAGAGAGAGTGGATGTGGGGCTGGCAGCAAGCACTCTGCGGCTCTCATTAGAAAATGGATGGTCATATACAGTGGCAATGCTGCATAACAAAAAACTTTCAAAGTACTGTTCTAGCTGTGGAGAGACAAGAAGCATAAACATTAATAAAGAATTAAAGTGGAAAGGTACAGAGGCTTGATAAAGGCAGAAAGGTTATTTTCTGTTTAGAAAACAGAAAATGGACTCATGAAGTAGGAATTCAAGGTGGTAAAAAGGGGTACAAAGAGAAGTTTATACTGTCAGAATACCATCATAATCTTTGTTTTGGACCCTGGAGATTGGGAGATAAGTACCAATTTTAGAAAAAATAACTTGGGCAAAAGTTGGTAATTTAACCAGTGTTGAAGTAGACTTAAAGAGAGAATCAAGGTGACAAAATCGTTCATTCAAATATATTGATTTTGGATGGTGTTGAAAGACACTTATATAAAAAAGACCCAGTCTGAACCCTCAAGGAGTATTCCTTTTAATGTAGGGACTCTCAAGCAAATAGTGAAATTGAAGGCAGAATGAACTAATTATTACAATTAAAATTCGTAAAAGTACTTGCAAGTAAGAAGAAGGAGGGATTAGTTTGGACTCAGAGGTCAGAGGGATTCAGAAAAGGCTTCAGGGTTAGAGCAGCATAGCAGCTGAGCCCTGAAAGGTGGTAGACAAAGTAGGAAGCAATGTTCTCTGGGCTGAGAGGACAGATGAGCAAGGGCACCAAGATATGAAAGAGTTTTTATTTTTTTTGTTTGCCAAAATATATCTGTGACATTTAATAGAATTTGATTTTCTTTTCTTTTCAGGGATATGAACCCTTGTTTATTCACAAGATCAAACACAAACATATCCTGGCTAAGAACTATTTTTCTCAAATTCCAGTGCTGGCTTCATATTTACTTGGTGATGGTGAGATAGATGAGATCCAAAAGAAATATCACTCAGAAACAACTCCTAAGATTATAGTGTCCCAGAGGCCTAGTCCCTAGAAGATCCAGGAGTATTTGATGATCAGCATTTTTGTCCACTGCTAATAGAGGAATACAGAGGCTGTACAATATGGAAATAGAATTTTATCTTTTTATTGATTTTAGTTGTTTTTTGTTTCTCGTAGTATGATAAGTTTATGAAGACAAAACATCCTTATATAAATGTTTTATTATTAGACATTTAGTGAAAATTGAAATACAGTTTAGTTCCTGAAAGTAATATTTTAAAGTAAAGAGAACATTTTATTTTTCATATTTTCACAATTAAAATTTTTAGAAATTTCAGCTTTTCAACAAACAAAAGCTAGGTTTAACTTTTGACTCAAGTAATTTAAGTTAAATGTAGTTGTGGAATAGTCAGTATATAGATGGGAGGAAACATAAAATTCTCTTTCTTAAAAATCTTTGCAGGTGGGATAAAAGACACTATATTTAAATACAACAATTTGAATCTTCACTTTTTATTTTCGACTTTTACCTTCCATGCTTCCTAAAATCCCAGTAAAACAACTGGAATTATTTCTAAATAAACAAACAAATGCATTCCATGCTGGAAAGCAGGGTAAACAGTAGAACTATCTTTTACCCTATTGGCAGAAAACTTGCAATGGGAATGACGACATTCTGGAGGAAGGATAAACTTGGTTAAGTTAACTGTAACAGTGTCATTCCTCAGTAAGACAAAGAAATAACCTTGACTACATGCATGTCAGAGACCTACAGTGATGAATAGTGTGTGTGTGTGTGTGTGTGTGTGTGTGTGTGTGTGTGTCTTAAGAAATTGACACTCAAAATAGGAAAATTCAAGGAGGTTGTATTTACAAAGGGAGTTATTATAAAGTGTGGGCAGTATTTAGGGAAACTAAAGGAATAGTGCAGGAACTCAGGGCTAGTATGAGATACAGGCTATCTCGACCCCTCATCTTAAATGAACATGCAGAGGAAGAGGTCTGAGAATGCTCAGTGTAAAGAAGGTAGTTGAGAGGATCAGAAGCCAACTGTCATGGGATAGTCAGCCCTAGGTGATCTCATGAACTGGAGAAATAAATACTCCGATTTCATACTTCTCCCTTTCTCTAGTCTCCTGCTTGCTTTCCCCATTAGTAGAACCCAGAAGGAAAGCAGGAGAAATAGACTTCTGTTGGCATAATTCATGCAGTTTCAGGGAAAAGAGTGGAGTAGATAATGGGGATGGTGGATCTAGACGGCTAAATAGAAGATACCTTCTTAGTATGAATTTAGAGTGAAGCTCTATAACTCAGGTAGCGGTATTTCACACACAACACACACACACACACACACACACACGTGTGCATGCATGTGTGTGCCTGTGCATGCGCATATGGCATAATTTGAGAGTGAGGGGTGAGGGGAGAATTTTTTTCCTGATTCCCATCAGTAGTTAATGAGCTGTTCTCTTCAGTTTAGTGCTCAAGGAATTCAATCTAAATATTAATATCTGTTCTACATATATATTTGCCAATATTTCAGCAATATATTTTCTAGGACATCTACAATTATTTTTTTTTTTTGTGGCAAAAGCATGGCACATGGTGATTGTTCTTAAGGAAATAAACATCAAAGAGGGAAGTGCTATAATGAGTTATTTTCAGGTTTCCATGGACAATTCAGACATTCTGGAACTTTCTCAATGGTAAATTACAGATAGGGTTAGACTGGAGACCACTCTGATCACTGATAAATAGGTAACAATTTAACACAGAGAACAGTGGGTTTACACAGGAATGTAAATGACCAGATTTTCATTAGACAGTGTACAGGAACATGCTATCTTAGAAAAAAAGGCTGGGGAGGCAAGCATCAGGGGAGAAATATTCAGATAGGGGCAAATAAGCATCTTTGGGAATTCCACTGTTCACCCTAGGGATGAAGCAACTGACCAGATAGCATTTGCTGTTTGTATGGAAGATTTGTGGAATGCAACCGAGAGGGGTAGACCAGCTAGAGCAATTGAATATAGGAAAGGGGCAGTACCTATAGAACTGGGAGAATAACCACTAAGGGGGAAAACAACTAAGAACAGACAGGCTTTCCCAAACATTCTGTTAAGCACTTTTCAGTCCTTCTGGAACTACAGTTCTCAATTTAGACAGCTATCTGAAAATCCAAAGCAGAAGGGGCTAGAAGACGTATCTGGTTAGAGAGCGTATCTGGTTAGAGAGCTGTCAGTGGGGTGGGGGTGGGGGGAGTCAGGTGGCTATCCACTAAAATCCTAATGCTAGCATACTGGAAAGCAACAGCTCATTTAGCAGTTGGTTCTCCTGCCTTCATAGTATCTGCATTCCTCTAGTTTATGACCTGATGATACTTCCCTTGGCCCACTAACAAGTGAAACTATAGCAGGTGTTTCCATCTTTCTCCTTCATGAGGACTGTATTATATAGATAGATGCCTAAATAATATAATAGGACAGAATTTTATATCTGCAAATTTTAAAAACAAGCTGATGAAGAATAGTCACTAGATAGCAAAAATCAAACAGGGACCCTCTGAGGAATGAGAACAAATATTCGTTTATCAAATCTCTTGATTTGATCCCAATGGGGCAATGACAACATTAATGATATTTGATAGCACTTTTTGTCCTTTGGGCAAAAAATGGTACTGGGAAAAATAGCTATTACACAGGATAAACAATTGCTTAATTTAATTAATTGCTTAATTAAAAACAACACATAGATGGCAATGAACAGCAGATTTGGTACTTTAAAGATGAATCTAAAATAGAGATTTGATGGATTAGCTCAAAATACTTCCCTAGAATTTAGAGGAAAAGGACAAAGTAATGAAGTAGATGAGCAAAAATAGTAAGTTTAATAATCTTGTTGTATCTACACTAAAGATAACATGAGCCTAGAATGGAATTAAAAAGGAGGAACCTTAGCAAATTGAGATTTAAAGCCAATTTTCCTAAGCTAAAAAGATATATAACTTTAGCTGTGTAAAGAATCTACCAAGTACTGGGAAAATTAATATAGAGACACATATAAAAAAGCACAATCTCATGGTATTTCTGAATTTCAAGAATATTGGACAAATTCTATAAGCATTCTAGTTAGAGGGGAAAAGTTAGCCACGAGAAAATAAAATCAATAGCATCGTAGATTTTTCTTTTCCAACACTAAATGCCAGAAGGGAGGAACATTTCTACTGAAGGATTTTGAATTTTGAGGGTTAAAAAAAAATGGCCCAAGAATTTTACTTCATGTTTATGAAGGCAGAAGAAAGACATTGTTAAGCAGGAAGCATATCATGAATCTCTGCCTTCCCATTCTGTATTCCAGCTCACCTTAAAACTGTGGCAGAAGGGTATGGGCATGATATCGTAAATGAGAAATGATAGTGAGCCCTACCACCTCAAGATCCTTTCTAAATGATCATTTGTGTGATTATGAAACAATGTGATGAACAAAAGTAATTCCTCAAGTAAAAATCTACACTATCAAAAAAAATCATTCTATAAAAATAATACCCTATTCCAATAAAATATCTACTACTGGAGAGTTCAGAGGGATGAAATTTTTCCAAGTCTTTTTAGTTGGAGAAGTGTCAACAGATAGGTAAGAAAGTAGATATTCAAATATTTAGTTTAAAAATTTAAAGGCAACTGGTAGCAGAATGAGGATGGAATTATAAACACATTTCTAGAGAGAAAAAGGAAACAACAAATTTGAGAACTATTGTGAAATAAAGGGTTTCGGTTTTTGCTTTCTAAACTTAGCAGGAAGTACATAGTAGAGAAAACTGGGTTAGAAATATCACAGTGCATAAATTCAGATAGGTTAAAGTTCTCAAGTAAAGGATAGTTATTATCATATCAAAAGTGTGAACTAAATGCTGTGTACCAGATATATACCCTGAATGAAATGACCTATAAAGGTTAAAAGTATGATATTTAGTAAAATTGTGATAGTCACATGCAAGCAGACACCAAAATTTTGGTAATGTTAATTTCAAGGATGAAACTGAGAAGAAAAGGAGAGAAATGGGAGTTACTTTATATTGATAAATTATTATTCACAATATAAATTACTAATCTCTGTTAAATACAAAAATAAGTTTTTAAAAAGTCACTTGAAAAACCATTCTCCATAGGCTTCTTGCACTTCTGCTTATCTTTGGAGCAGAGATAGTAGTTCTTCTTTTCTGGTTTATTTTGAAGGTTGTTTGTATAGTAATCAGTCTTGGAAGATAGGGATAGTATTTACTGTTCACTATAGAAGAGTCAGAGTTTCTAAGCCCAGGATTTCTACCCTGTAATGTGTGTGCATGTGTCATCCAGACTTTGTATCATCCTGGGGGAATTAGGGCAAAATGCTGATATTCTGGCTGCTGTATTTCTGTGAACAATAAATTGTGCTTCATCTCTGACCCAGGAGTCTCGTGTCGTCCCCTGTCATCTATGACATTCTGGCAGCCAAACTTGTTAGCTTGTGTTTGGGTAGCATTTCAGACCCTTAGCAGTTCTTGACCCAGATAACCTTAAAAATGAAAAAAAAGAGAAGTGACTCAAGAGGTAGAAAATGTGTCTTTGCTCTTTCCAGGAGCACTGGGTGACTGATTGCAATTCTCCACTCTCTCGAAAGGAGGCAGGGTTATATAATATGCTTTGCCCAAAGTGTAATGCGAGTAAAATTGTCCTGTGTTACAACTGAGCATCGAAAGATCAAAAAATTCAAATTCTATAGATACTCTTCTTCTAAGGAATAGAAAAAGTGAATACTCCCCAACTCACGCGACCAATACATCATTGATCAAACTTGGACAAGGCTAGCACAAGAAAGAAATTGATAGGCCAACTTCATGATGAAGATAGATGCAAAAATCCTAAACAAAGTATTAGCGAATCAAATTTAAAAACACGAAAAGATGAAATAACATGGCTTTTGCTGGACATTCTTCATTTACTTCTTCAGATCTACCTTCTACCCTTCCCCTCTCTGCTCTGTGCCCAGAGAGCGGCTCTTTGTGCATTGTGTCAGTAAGTATGTGACGTCTTCCAGTTGCTTTTGGCCAATGAGAAGCACCAGCAGGACATTTGAGGTCTGAAAGACAGGCAGAGGTTGGGTGTTTATTCCCCTGGCTTCTCCTATCTTTTTGATCTGTTGTTGTCAGTGACTGCATTTATGTGCCTAAGACCATATCTCTGGTTGGGTGGTCAGCCCTTGTGCACTATAGCTCTTTTTGAATTCTGAGCTTCATTCTTTCTTTTTACTCCTTCAGCATATGGGTATTGTTTTCTTTTGTAGTGAGGTTT